AGGTAATGAATAATGATAAGGTCATTACACATAATCTTGTCATAAATCATTTCATAATTTGAAATGGAGGAAGAAATTTCATTGTTGGCAAAAAAAATGCTATTATTATTTGTTAATAACTAATCCCATTCTAATACAAATCAGATTAGGCCTTGAATAGGGAAAGGCTAGGGCAAATTTCATTAAAGATCCTCTGACCAGACTTAATAAAAAGAAGACCTTAAGAATATTGATATATCACTGCAAAATATGGGCACTGATTTGAGATTAAATTCATAGACAAACGACAATATTCCACCTCACCGTAAGAATAAAGAAAAAAAATTTCATTAGCTCAACCATAAAGCACACATCCTGTGAACACATAGAAGGTTAGTAACACCTACATTTTAAAGCCAAATCAATAGAATCTCCTGTGAGCAAGTGAGAAAATTTTACTCAGGGAAATTCTCATATTACCTATTATTGCACGCATCTTTGATAAGCATAGATAATGCATTTAAGCTTTCTAAACTCTCAAGTTTGAAGATTAGTGACACTTCTATCATTGGAATTCTTACTCAAGAATTTCCCTTGACTGAGTCACCATTTGGTCCGGTGCTACCTTTGACCTTATAGCTTCTTTTAGTCAGCACTGTTCTTCCCTCAATTAAACATTAAACCAACACTTGAAAAATGATCAATATTGTAACAAACAAGTACAGTAAGAAAATTAACAACTATCATAAGGTAATTAACCACTCATATTAAGGCAATGAACAAGTCATTTAAACATGAAATCCTATTAGTATGATCATGTTCTACCGGTATGTTTTACTTAAAATTTTTTCTAGTATATACCAATATATTAGAGACATATAGGTATATCATAAGCATGCTGGTATATCATAGACTTATCGGTATGTTTTACTTAGAATTTTCTTATGTTGTAACAAATAAGTGTGGTAAGAAAATTAACAATTGTCGTAAGGTAATTAACCACACACACTAAGAAAACAAACAAGTCATTCAAACATGGATTCATACTGGTATGAGCATGTTTTATCGGTATGTTTTACTTAAAATTTTTTTGAACACATATCGATATATCAGAGACATACTGGTATATTATAGACTTACTAGTATGTTTCACTTAGAATTCTTTCATGCTGTAACAAACAAGTATAGTAATGAAATTAACAATTGTTGTAGGGTAATTAAATACATGCATTAAGGTAACAAACAAGTCATTCAAACATGAAATCATATTGGCATATTAGAGACATATCGATATGACATGTACGTTTTCTCTATCCATTTTTTTGCACATTACCTATAATTCTTCTTTCATAAAATGATCCTTGTGTAGGAACTTTGGTGATGGAGGTGTAAGGTCTCCCTTACTAAACCACAATTAAATCCATAATCAAGGTAATTACGAGACTAACTAAAGTAAATTACCAAGTTCGTAAAATTTATATAAATGGGATTCCAAGTTTTCAAAACTTAAAATGTTATAAAATTATTTTTTTAAAAAATAAAATCAGATCAAAACATGTATACAGAAGCATGGATATCTTATAAGGTAAGATAACATCAAATTGGGGTTAAAATAGCAAAATAAAAAAGATTCTGGGACAATTATGCTGCAACATAAAGTTTTATGCTGTAGCATAAACTGCAAAATTCATGACAGCAAAAAACTGTTATGACAGATTTCCTGCCCGAACTTCCGACGCACACCAAATCTCCATCCAATGCCGATTGAGTTCATTTAGGTGTCTACAAAAAGCTTTCTCCAAGCTCTAGCTAATCGCACTAGTTTTACATTTAAATAATTTCTTAATCAAAAGTTTAAAACTAAAATGTAAACTTGCCCATTTATGCTTTCAAAACATAATAAGGGTGTCCAAAATTACAATTAAGTGCCATAAACTCATAACCATCCCTAGACCACACCCAATAGATTCTATAGGAGTTATGCAACACATTACACTTAACTAAAAACACATATATCACAAAGTCACCACTCAACCCCATAACACATAAAACACAAAGGGGAGGAATTTTTTGCACAAAATAATTATTTCATTCCAAATTAGTCAAAATACACATATTTTTACTTGTACAAGTATTTTAGCCCTATACTAAGTTTACAACCAAAACTCACTAATTCAGGACACAAAATACATAAATGTGATACAATAATAAGCCGACTGATCTAAACATATTCATATGAATCCTAGTTTGCAAGTTAACAATCTTAATACACATAAAATAATATAAAGAGGCATACAAAGGATTACTCTACAATCCTATGTCTTGGCTCATTTTTCCTGATTTTGACCCGATGAGCTAGGCCTTAAAAATGTTGAGATTTAAAGGATGAGTACAATCATTCAGTAATTAAGTTTTACCTAATCTATGCAGTTATATATCAATAAAAAATGAATGTAATTAGCAATAAACACACACATATAAAGTATGTATGACAATGTATAACCTTGACCACAACAATAACAACCATGAGACTGGGCTTTAAACACATAATCATATATATATATATATATATATTTAATAATGCAAAATCTGGGGTCGCAATAATACCAACTATGCACCCTTAAACCATATCAAACCACAATACCAATAATCATGTGGTCGTGACGAAATGCATGATCATATACCAACTTTATATCCTCCTGATTACCTCCGACATGAAACCGATGGCTATGCCCTTTATGGACTAACCCGGCTTTTTACTTGCAAGGAGCTACCATGTAGTTTTCCCTAATGTTAATAACTATGGGGTGTCGTACCCTTAATCTAACCTCTTTACAAACCGGTGGAGACTATGTAGGTTTGAGTTCTTTATAGAACAAGTGAGATAGTTCCAAATCAATCATAAGACAAGTGCTACCTTTTGATTCTAACTGTTGGTGCCGAGATAAACTCTCGATTCCAACGGTTACTATCAATACCATGTGGGTTTAGTCAACTACTCCTCTTCCTAGGCGAAATCTCGCCAATGATCATGCTATGCATGTACGTCACATATGTATGTATATGCATTTTAATCAACCATTCATATTATGAATCCACATATCCATATTCACACCCAACTTACTTCACACATCAACTAGTACATAATCATAATTTCTCATTTATCATTACTATTAACATGTATATGAACATACATATAATTTGCAACAATAATATATCACCAACCATTGCCAAAATTTGTATCATGATTTTAAAAATATTAAACATGTTTCAAATGAACCATTTTAACAAGTAATCAAATAACATTCAACTATGTAAACTAGGTTTGTCTCGGTTACTTTAAACTTTTGAGAGGGTAAAAGTTTACCCTTTAATAAAAGTTCTTCACAACCTATACCAAAGCTTGAATGGTGCACAAGATAATTGATCTACAATTAATTATACCAATCATCATTAAAATCATTATAAACACTCTTCTAACTTTCATAAATCAACACTTTAATTACCCAAAATTTCAATCTCTTTTAGTTAAGCATAACCATTAGGTTTATTAATTTTCATTAGCTCCATTTAGTTTTCATTAACTTAAATAATAACTAATATAACACCCAACAATCCAAAATCACACTTTAAAGGTCTAGGGTTCATCCAAAATGAATGACCTAAGTTTACAACCTTATAAAAAATTTTAAACTATTTGTAGAATACTCAAACAACTCTCATTAATCCCATTTAGACTAATGGGTTCGGACCCATAGTCTTAAATCTGAAAATCATCATCTTTCAACCTTAAATCTCACTTCTAAAATGCATAGAGGGACGAAAAAGAGATAAAGAAAGCATACCAAGGTAAAACCATGCTTCAAACACCTCCAAAATGCCCAAGAATCTATGACCTAGCAGAGAAAACACTCTCTCGGTCTCCCTCTCTTTGTTTTAGATTCCATACTCTATTTTTTAAATTAATTTTCACGTTTTAAAAATTGGTTTAGGAAATTATGCTGCTGCATAATTCTTTATGTGACAGCATAACACATAGTAGGCTAAAAAATTTAATTTCTTTCTACAATTTGAGTCCAAGTGACCTAATTCACTTTCAAACTCAATCCAAAAGTTAAAGCTGAACTCAATAAACGTATCTAACTATCTTCAAATCTAATTATACTTAAATTTTTATAATTATCTTTCATCAAATTAATAAATCATGAAAATTTTTTTTTGGAATGTTATAGGAGGTGTTCCTAATCTTCAGATGCCCTAGTTCAAGTCCTAGATGGATTTGGATTTCTATTTATATTTTTTGTATTTTAAGATTTGTGATTATGATGAACAATCATTTCTTATAATTAATTATATATAAGAGCTGATCATTTAGTTAAAGTTTTGAAAGTAGACGGAGGTCTCACTCATTTTTAGACACCCTAATTTACGTCTTAGAGAGATTAATCTTCAGTGATGGAGGTGTCTGTCATCTTCTGTGCATCGTTGGTTTTCTTAATCTATGTTTGTCTTTTTTCTTTCAACGAGGGACAATATATCATTCGGCTGTAAAGTTTAATTTCAAATCAGCATCCTCTGATGCAGTAAAAATCAATATTCTTGGGGTCTTATTTTTTATTAAGTCTGGTCAGAGGCTTGAGTGAAATTTTCCCGAAAAGCTATCGCAACGGCATTTCAGGCTTTTGATAGTCTACTTAGCTACTATTAATTTGATGGTCAACTGTTCTTGGCGATCTTTGGGCTCTTACGCTACAGTTCGTGGGCTCCACACATCACTTTCGCTCTTTCTTTTTTTCCTTTCCGTTTTCGTTTTCGTTTTTTCTTTTCTCTCTCCTTTTTTTTTTCGGAGAGCAATCATTGAGCCCATCTTCTGAAAATTGAAACCCAAAATAACATGCCACCTTGCGAGGCTTGACGTAGGCGCACCTTGTTCTCAAGTGCTGCGCAGCCCTAATTGAACGCATCGTTTTTCCTTTTCATTCTCAATCAATATGTTTTCAAAGATCGTAACAAAGTAAAAATTTGTGGCAATTCTTGAATATTATTGTTTTATTGATGTCATTCCGATTCAAGAGCAAATGCATGTTACATGGATATCAAATATTCATACTTGTCTACGTCTTGAACTTCGACCAGGCTTGGTCACATCTGCAATTTCGCTGGAGCGGTTGTTTCAACTTATTTCATTTTTCTTAAATAATTTACTCATCTATAGCCAATTGTGCTGAGAGAGAGAGACAGAAACTGATATTGTAATAATACACACAATCCAAAATTTTCTGCACAATTGTTTTCTGCATACGCTTCTTCTGCTGCATGCTCCATGCATGTCGAATCGCAAGGCTGATCAGTTCCAACTAAATCCATTCAGGTCCAGTTGCTTACTGCTCGCTGCACCATCGTTTTCTTGGTGGGTGTTAAGGTCTAGTCTTGGCGCAGCAAAGTACGGCAATCTATAATCTCCGGAAACTTTTTCGTCCACTGCTAATTTCATCCCTTCTGTTCTATTATTGGTGCTTCGGTGCTGGAGCTCACTATCTGGTTCTCTCCCCATTATGATTCTCTCATCATAGATGCTGCTGCCATTCCTTGTTTCTCCTTCAACCCTAATGCTCATTGTTAAGTTGCCAGTACTTCTTTCTGATACATTCTTGCCCAAAGGGTTAAGAAAATTATTATTCCTTTTCGCCTCAGCGGCGTCTTTTGGTTCCATGAAGGTGTGGCCCTTAAAAGGTCTCGTCAAGCACATACCAACATTTGGCATCTCTTGCTCCCTTTGAGACCCCTCGCAGGATGTGAGGCTGCTGTCCATTGAGCAGGCAGTGGGTTGGTTGGTTCGCGTGTTTATCTGGGGGCAAAATGCATTTAATTCCTTCAGCTCTGAGAAAGCAGAACTCAGACATCGAGATGATACTTTGGACACCAGTTCTGAGAGTTGAACTTTCGCAGCTTCAAGACCCACTATTCCTAAATTCTGTCTGCCAAGCGTCTCCTGAGCCTTTTCAAGCACAGCCTGCAGGTATTTCCCTTGAGCCTCTATTCGGAGCTGCAAGTGTCTCTGTACCTGAATGGGTAATGGTTTTTGTCACAATTCACTCATTTTAAAAAATTTCTGGAGTTGACAAATAAGGTCTAGTTTATATATTAGCATATATAAATGGTTTTTATGCACACGTTTAGATGTTGACACACACCTCAAGTTGTTCATTTAGCCTTCTCTGCACCTCAATCTGCATCTGCAACGCTTCGCTTATATGTAAATCTCTGGCAAAAGAGCATTGATTTTTAGTATGTATTTCCAGTGATTGGTTCTGTAAATAGAAGAGGAAGCATATGAACACAGCAATTTAACTTCTTACTTGTTTGCCTGCGGCCCTAGCGTTAGATTGCTCATATGATCGTGTGTTCCATTTGCTTCAGAAAGTCTTTCTCCGCTGACGGCACTTGCACTAGGTGCTGGGATGAATAAGATAAGCATGTTGTTTATAAGCAAAAAGTTAAGTTGATTTTAAATGGCTCACAACATGAGATGACATTGGAAAATATTGTTCTCTTACCGATTTTGTGTGTTACATTGCTACTTTGACCATGAAGATTCTTGCTCAGTCTGTACTTCTGGGGACAAAAAGGAACGGATCAATAATTTCCGAGTACTTACTCGTGCCATACATGTTAAAGGTGAAGAAAAGGTGTTGAGTTTATACATAAATAATGTTATTAGGAAGATGTTTACAGCAGATGCAAAATTTCATCTAAAAACGTAGGAAACAAAGAGAAATTTAGAATCCGTGTTTTGTTTCTCTTAAATTCATTAGAATTGAAAGTTTTCGAGTTAAACTTCAAAAACAAGATGATATGATCAAATACTAGTTTTTCATTTGGTCGAGATTGAGATCACTTATGAAGAGAAGCGTACAACTGTGTAGAGAGAACTAGAGTGGGATATAAAAGCTCGCAATAACTGTCAAATAATTAAGTGATGGAGATATTAATATAGTGACTAATGTAACTTACCTGAAGATGGCTCTTAAGATGATATAAAGTAAGCCCCGGAATCCCCATGAGTTTCATTACTGTTTTTGGAGTTGCTTCTGCAGTAGAAACGTTACACTTCGCATCAGTAAATCTAAAGTTCTTTATTTTAATTACGATGGGATGATCCGCCAGTGTGGTAATGTATACTCACTTTCAGCTCCGCCAAGCTGGTTGACTGCTTCAATAAATCGGGCATGGAGATCTGGCGTCCATTTCAACCTGGGTTTAGGATCAGTTGAAAGTACAAGTCCAGAATCTCCAGACCCATTTCCACTTTGAAGGAACAAATGCCTCTCGGAAGGGATTGGCATTCTGGAAGAAGAAGAATGGATGTTCTTTGCGTGATTCGGGTGATTATGATACATCCCACCTACAAAAGCCACGAATAAGCGTTCTGGTATTAGAAACATACCTACTTAATATATCCCTTGTGCTGGAGACCAATTTGTTCTGTTAATTACCTGCTGGCCTCTATTGTCCGGAGCTCCTTGGTACCTCTGAAAGGTGGAACTTGGTAATTAATGCTCTAGTTTCAGGTATTATTACTCGCCCTAATAATGATGACCTAAACTTCTGCTGACAACTTCTGATGCTTGTCTAGTTTCTTCTCTACACGTACATTTTTCTGCAGAAAGCGTGCTCAACCTGGTATTTATATTGAGAGCTGGAGGGGAGTTTATAGCGCATAGAATCTTGGATAGAATCAATGGAAGGCCCAAATTAATGCTTTGTTTTGCGGTAACTTGGAAAATGGATTTTGTTCCTTCCTACTTTTGCTCAATAGCGTGGGCCCAATATTTTCTAGTTCAATTTTCCATTATTGGACAGTGGTTCCTTCGGAGCTCTTATGCAATACACCTTTCTTAAACACCTATCCTTTAAAATTTTAGTTTGCTTGCCTGGTAAAAGTAGGAATCATATTCCAAATTTTGAAAGAGAGTTTCTTTGTTTTTTCCCCTCAATTAGTTCTAAGGAATATGATATTCCTCTCGACTTGGAAACGCCAAAGCCCATCATATATCTTTTTCTTTTTTTCTTACATGAAAATTTCTGATCGAGAGGTTAGAACCCTGATATTCTGTTCCTCAGCTTGATATCACTGTCATTTTATCAACCCTCGAGTTAAATATTTCACTAAGCGGCATGATAGAAGAGACATGCATCAAAGAAAGTCTTGATTGGTTGCATATTATGGAGAACTCGAAGGGAATATTCCAATTGACCAGGGCATCTTTAAAGTCTGCAGTAATCCATACAAGGAATAGGGGGAAATTAAAAGGAAAAAGAAAATGAAAGAAGATGCTTCCAGTATGGAGGTAAGGAATAGAATACGAATACGTTCTTTTATGTCTCCTTCAATAAGCTTGGTACTTATTCAGCCCCCACCTTATAAAATAGAAGGGAGATGGGCCCTAAATTTTCATTCTTCGGCCCAAAAACTCGAGGCCCATCCTGTGGTATCTTTGAGCGGGAGGGACCTGATCAAAAGGGGGAAGCCAGAATAGTACTCGTAGCTCAATACAGGACAACAGCAGAAGACCACTTGACTTGCCTCTTTGCTTATGTAGCAGATTCCCACGTAAGAATCAGTCAATACATTTAATTTCCATGACCAGCTTTCTCTGGTTCTTCTTATCCATGCATGTGGTACCTTCACTAAATGCATGATGTTCTTAAGCATATAAGCATGAATCTAGACCTAAATAATATATTATACAATCATGATGTTTAGTTGTTCATATATTTCACGGCCTGAGATTGTTGAGAATTCGTGCATATACCTGTCTAAACCAAAGTGGGAAAAAAATATCAAATCATTCATCCGAATCCGATTCAGTGTTAAGACAATGCATGTGTCAACCGCATGCAGAACTGCGTTATTCAATCTGAAAGATGCAGTTTGTACACCAGGGGTGAGCGGTAGAACACTAGCTGAAATGATCAACAGCTAAGTTAATGCGGGGTAATTTAATTATACATTAGTAATTAAAGAACTTTTCATTGGAGAGAAACAGGAATAGAGGCTTGACAATAAATCTTATCTAATATGTTGATATCCATTCATGAGGTGCTAAGACAAGCATTACATCGACAACTTAGGCACAGTGAAAATAAATGGAACAAAGATTCCTTGAACAGTATCTTCATATCACTTCTTCCTTTTCTTGTTCTTGATTCTGATTTGCAGGAATATTTAATGCGGCCAGGAGAATCTGTGGGAGCCTTTTGGTAAAGTTAAAGGCTTTAAAGCTGAGCTCCTGAATAGTGATCTGGCATGTGGATTGGAATAATTTGAGCACGAGGATTGATCTGGTACTTTTCAGTCTTGATATCGAATGTGCTCCCTTAGATGGACTTAATTATACCACTTGGCAGATCCTCTAGTCTATATCATGATATGAGAAACTTATCATGACAGCTAGAAGAGTAAATTTTATAAAATATAAACACCTATTCCTGCAATCGGATATCTGGTTTTTGAAGCTGCTATTTCGTAACGACTAGAAATCTTTGAGGTAATAAAAGACGCAAATAATGACCTTACAACTCTGCATGTAAGCTTCAGAGGAGTAAAATTTTCTACAGGCCCTTCGGCAACAAATAAAAAGAGAAGACAGAGAACAGGGAGTGAAATTAGAAGAGAATAAGGAGAATAAACTTTATGTCTCTTTTAACTTGTATCATTATTGATCCTACTGTTAATGGTTCTGTCTGTTGGAATCAATGTTGTCTGAATGTTTTTAAAGTACTCATAATTAACCATACATAGAAAATTATGTTGCTACAATTTCCTTAACCATATCACGTTCTATTTTTGGCTCAACGCATGCTTTGGTGCTGTTTGTTCATGTACATGATCACCGAACAATATAAAGCCGTCATAAGCAAAACCTTGCAGAATTAATTTGTCCGAGAGTCTCATGTATGTTTTTCAGGGACCATCTTTCCCATAATGGCAGTCCTCACCTTTTTCTAGGAAAGAGGATAGCGTTTCTAAATTTTATTAATACACCCTCATTCTTAGCGGATAAATACCATGGTTACATTGAGGACACGAACTAACGAAACAAAGGAAAAATATCACAAACTATCAACTGGGACTCTAATACCTATACACCAAGACCTCATACCCGCAGTTAAGAACCTTGGAGATAAACAAAATAATAATAGAAGTCTTGACAATCCATGAAGCTGAATGAAACCTACTACCTCTTTTTTATTGCGTGGGAAGACTCATTCTATTTGTTTTGAATTTTAGCATACTAAAGTTTCAAAGAATTTCATCTCTTCCCTTTTCACCCTCATTTGCTGAGTAGTCCACTTGGTACTGTCAAATTGAGCTTGCTAGCTTCCTGTCTTTTGTCCTTCTATTTAAGTTGGTCTTTGTACAGAACAATGGGTAACTTTTGCGAGTAATATCCAATTGCCTTTACTATTAATATGGCAGATGTCCCACTTAGGACTTGGAACATAAACTTTTGTTCTTCGTTGTACTTAAATCTCCTTTTTTACAGATGTTATCTTAACATGGATAGATTCACTTTTGAGTGGAAGAAGAAACTTTAAATGAGAAACACAGGACAAAATACGAGAATCAACTTACAGCCTGGTGGTCAATCATGAGCGAAGCCATTTGCTAGCAATGCTATTGGTTGTGATTTTGTTGATCACGCAGCACACATGATGGCATTGGCTCAAATTCAAAGCAAGAAATGACCACGGAATGATATTCTTAAGGGGAAAAGGAAAAACAAAAAAAAAAAAAAACAAAAATAAAGCAGAGAAGCTGAAAGTTTCAAAGGTTCTGTGGAATGTGAATATGAGAATCTTAACTCAAAACTAAAGTCCACAGGTCATATTCTTAAGCAACGAATTTGGTTATTCTTCTTCTCCGGAAGCCACAAAAAATGGATACCTAATTCCCCACTCAACTTTTTACTTAATGCAATCAGATGCCTTTCAGCATTCAATATTACTGTCATATCCTTAACGGGACTGCTATCATTTCTGGGAATTTCGTTGTTTATAGATTGTTTATGATATAGGGTTGTCTTCAACCTTTTCCCCTGTCATTCATCTGGGAAGTGACCTGGTTGACAAGTATACTGGTCTCCTAGTTGATTGGTTTTTTTAGCTGTCCCCTAAGTCGGACAATTCCAGTATCTTTTCCACTTGTTCTTATTCTTACCCTGCTTTTTCATTGGGTGTTCTAAGATCTATGGAAGGAGAGTAGTGTAAGGCATGGGGGATATGGTGGAATCAGTACAGCAAGCTCACCTTAGTCTTGAAAGATTGAAACTTTTGTCATGAGTTATCAACAGTTCATTTTGTTGTTGTTTTTGTGTGTGCGTCAAAAGAAGTCCTACATTGTCAACATAAAAAGAACTCTTAATGCATATATACCAAAGAATAAAATGGGCTACTAAAATAGGTTTGAAGGAAAAGTGAGCTTGCACACAAAAAACAGATCAAGTTAAGGCAATCGCAATTGAAAACAATTGATTTGCTTCCTTGCTCGTGAGTTAAAGAGGCACTAGATTTCTTTTGCAAAAAATAAGTAATTATTAATTTAAATTAGCTGAGCATTTTTGGGTTTTAAGCACGTCATAGGCATGCATGCGGACAGAACCATTTCACCTAGCTCTTGAGCTTTTGAGCCTTTCTTTCCTCCTCCGTGCGTGCTGTGTTGCCTAAGTAGTTATTCTTGTTAGTCTCCTCTATTTTGTTGCCTTGCTTACTTGTAGGATGAACTTATTTAATCTTGGGGAGCTACCGATCAAATGTACTAGAATGCCGGGATAGTTTTAAAGGCAATGTCTTTCGACACGACTCAAGCTTCATTTTCCTGCCAATTACTTATACATTTTTTATAAAACTGTTAAGTTTTCACTATACAATCAGTTTTATGAGAAACAGTACATAGGATGATCATCTTATTCCATTGTTATATTTGAAACTTGTTTTTTCCCCTTATAATAACCAGGTGGATATGACCAAGTTGTATTGATTGTTCTAAAACTCTCAGTTCATGCAGACACATGCAAGAGAAGAATGTGATTCCATGTAGATATACTTGTAGGTTTTGCTGGGTTTCTTCTTCCCCCCACCCAAAGGTTTTGCATGTCTAACATGGAATGGTTAAGAAATTAAGATTTTCTATTTGGAAGGTGTTCGTTAAAAAGTTGAGGGAAAGAGGCGCATTCCTTCTATGATTATGTTATAATTGAAAAAAATATTAACATGAAAATTTTGAAGAATATATGTATTACTTGAAATAGTTTAAGTTTGCCAGCTTGATATTTTTTTTCTGACTTGAGAATTTATTATCTGAAATCTGAATCACCACCTTCGTCTCCCTTCCTCCCTTCGATTTATGACGTAATTTTGTTCCCAATATTTTGTAAGCGTAGCGTAATATTGCTTCTAATCTTGATTCTCCCAACAACATGGTCAATATTTTGATTTTTTTTTTAAAAAGACTATGAGTATATAAGTTAAGCTATATCAACAACAAAAAGGAAAAATAATGGATTTGGTATAAAAGGGAGAAAAACAAGATTTTTTTTGGCTATTTTATTGCAGAAATTTGAAATCAAAGATGTGGAAGAATAAGTAAACAGCACTTTCTACCTCTTACCACACATTTCATTTATTGTGATCTTTGACTTTCTTGTGGTAAATGTTACTCTTCAGCGGGTAGTTCCCCACAGGTTTTTCTATTTTTTGGGTGTAAATTGGAATGTCTTGTCATATACCTGGAAGGCTAAAAATAGCTCATATTTTTCATAACATGGGAATACTACGACTTTCAATTGTTTTTTAATGACATCTTGTAAATTTTACTATAGTGTATGGTGATTTATATTGATATATTATATTGATGCTACACTTTCACATTCCACTGTCAATTGTGCTGAAATTTTATCAACCTTTCTTACCTTTTTCTAATGGCACATTGTTAATTAATGAGAAATTATTTTTTTGGCAACCATGTGCACTGTGCTGTCAATCTGAATGATTTTACGTACTGTGTTCTTCTCTGGGGTATTAAGCAGATTAACCAATCATTTTGATGACCTGTTCATATATTTTTGTTTTTGGCACATGCCAAAGTCCATAATCTATTAAATTCATGGAAATTGGAATTTGCAATATTAACTTTCGTTATGGGATTATTTTATGGAGTCCTACCTCTTCAAAGGATAAATTTTCTTTTTCCCTTCAAATGGATAAAGATTCACACTTTGACTTAACATTCAGTTATCAGTACAATGAAAAGGTGAAAAAATGCATCTAATAGTGAGAGAGAGAGAGAGAGAGAGAGAGAGAGAGTGTGTGTGTGTGTGTGTCTTCTCGGTGGTAGAATCTTGCAACGCACTACCTGTTAGCCAGGTAAATAAACAATCTTTGGAAACAGAAGCCTGGAAACCTAATTTAAATATCAATCTAGCATTTAACAATCAAAACCTCCTCACGGTTAAAAAAAAAAAAAAAAACCGAAGAAGCTCAGGCCATGAGAAAGACCATCTTAAATTTGAGGTCATTACAGAACCTTTTAAAATATGCAGTCTCTTTCTCTGCTGATGCTTTGAGTTATGTGGCCAAGAAAGTACGTTGTAGTGCACTCTACAAACCTGTATCGATGTGCCATTGTATGAAAATTCATGGCTGAAACACACTATCATATCCAGGTAGATTTCATTTTCTGCTTCTTTCCAGGACAGTGTCCTAGAGGCTACGAGTATATTCACTCCCTTTTAACAGCATGATCTATATGGCAAACAAACAGTAACGAAGCTCGGAAACTGATTACACCCAGTATTAAGAAGAACGCGTAACACATGCATGCATTATAGCCAATAAAGAAAGATAGCTGCATTAAGCCACTCATACTAGATCTCATACAGAAGTAGATGCTATACAAGAACATGAAAATGGCCGTTGAGCCCCCACACAGCACAGATCTGCATCCACCAGAAAAGAGAGAAAAATGTTTTAAAAAAAAAAAAAATGCAGCAGCAGAAGAAATAACATACACCTTGAACCAGCAATAGTATTAATGACATGCCCTCTGCCTCATTCAGAAAGGTGCCTATTGATGTTTATCGATTTTACTTTCTTGAATTTTTAATTATTCCAGAAAAAGAAAATTAGATTTGTAAATAAATAACAAACTTATGTGTCACAATTTAATATGACGATTACAGTGACACATTGAATTTTTTTATTTTATTTTTCTGAACGAGATACTGTCTAATAACATGCTTGCATCCAATCTAACCCTGTCACCTAGTAATAGTATCAATGTTAAAGCACCTGAATCTAGATGTTCATAAAAACTTTCTTACAGCCATATGTCCCTGTCTGCAATCTAAAGATCGAGGATTAATTATTTGCAGTGACAACCTCGTCTCATCAATTGTTTTTGAGAAATACACTACTGCAGTTTAAAATAAATAAATATGAACTCCAATCAATTTGAGACAACGATATCTTCACGGCATAGAAAAAGGGAGGAGAGCAGGGGGAAGAAGAGCATTTAATAGAAGCTAGCGCTGGTGTTGTAGAACAACATACCTCCACCACCAACCGTGGTCTTCAACAGATATTTGAATGTATGTCAAACCAATACTGACGAGTGCAGTGATCACAATGACAGTAATGAAGGTGACAAACAACATGCCAGGAAGAGTGTATATTTTGTAGCCCCACATACTTGCATACAACTGGTGTAATTGAAGGACAACAGCACAAAAAGGTATAAGACCCCCAATAAACATTTGACAGGGTGTTCTCCTATACCAAGCACGCCACTGAATCTCCCTAGGATGCCTCTTTGTAGTATAGGGGACTTTAAATTCAGATCTAAACCGATATCCAATCACTCCACCAAGTGCAAGCAAGGGGATCACAAGAAATATAAATGAGATAAGGATCACAACAATAGCGCCAAATGGGAGTGCATTGGTGGCCCCATAAGATAATGCAATGATGTTCAGGATAGAGGCTGTAACAAACACTGGTCCAGTGTACAGTATTCCCGATAGAAAAACACTTTTCTCCTGGAATTGTAGCCAAGTCCGTGAATATTTATTGAAAAGTAAAGAATAAAATTAAACATAAAGAACCATCTTGCGGAAATTCATGTAGAATTACCCATCCATTCTGAGCAAACTGGGCGTAGAAATATGATGCTGAGTAGCCAGCAAGAATAGAAGAAAGAACATACAGCAGGACAAGATAGTTTAGTAGTCTTCCACGATTGTAGGGATAGAGGGTACCAATACATGCTAGAAATAGTAATACACAAACCCTGAGGGAAAGAGGGAAAATAATTATATTAAAATGAGGGAACAAAGGACCGTGAACATTTTCAGCTGGAAGTTTTTTATATCACATAACATAAATGTACAGTAAAAATGACTCGTTCGTTTATTAAGACAGAAAAATCCACCACCCTGAACGCATTACACAAAAATCAATTTTAAAATGAAGCTTCTGTCAAAACAATCAACATTCATGATCTGTTTCACTTCAATAGAACCTTTATGCATAACTTTATAAATTGGAGAGCACGAGGAAGACATGATAAATTAGAACCTATTCTGCCAGGTTGGGTTTGAAGATAGACACCATCTAACAAAGGCTAACAACATAAGGATTCAAAGTCTGCCTCCAGTTAGTTTACAAATTATGGTAGAAAGAGCTAGTCGTTGATTTAGCCAAGTCTGACAGCAAAATGTAGGCAGAGAATCAGAATAAGGCATGGCTGCACCACAAACATAAGCATGCAAGAGATTATTGATTATTCCAGCCAGGAAAACATAATTCGGATCAAAGAAAACTGCTATTGGCTTTCAGTATCACTTGGAGTTTTAGGTTTGGATTGCTAACGGATTTATTGACAGCAGTATAAATAAAACCAGTTGCCAGCTTGTCATGCACCTTCACACATTGTATTCATGATAATGCAATGAGGAATAAGTGATTTGAACACCAAAGTAGCTTACAAGATTAGCAATTGGGTACCCGTGCCCAGGACAGCAAAAAATAAGGGTGAGTTTGGAGGTTGTTGAAATGCATCTCCATGAATATACTTCCAACCAACCTCTATATCGTCTTCATGATTTACAGTAGAGGATCTACATTGTCAACAAAATTGTCAGGGTAACCAATGAAAGCAACAAGACTAAAAATTTGCTTCCATACAATCATGAACAAAGAAAACTACCTTTTCAAAGCACTCTTCAGGTGCCGCATATAAAGCACTGTAAGCAAACCCATCAGTAGAAAAATGATAACAATTGAGTTGACAAATGAGAACCAATGAACCTTTTGATAAATAGGCAGCAGTGAAGTTCTAGAGTATCTGTCCATCCTGTTCTCGAAATGTATAGAAGTGGCGTTCCAGATAACTGAATAAGTGAACTTAACATCAACACCAACATTTTCAGTTATATCTACAGCAAGACTTGGATCGCCAAATGCATTTATTTCCACGACTTTATTTCCATTGTAAAGGACATCAAACTGAACATGTTTAAAAAGGTAATACTTTGGGCCCTTGCCACCAACAGTCCAGCTTTCCTCTTCAACTCTACCCATGAAACCCCAGAATGGAAGATCATCAAGGTACATCTGGAAGTAAAATTCATCGATTATTGCCTGCTTGAATTTTGCAACTTCATCAATCGTAAGCTTCTTTTGACACAAGGTCTCACCAATTTTGTGCTCCCGGAATTTCAACTGGTATAAAGTATTGCTCAAGCGATCACCATTCAAAACTTCCCCGAGGGATTCTTTCTTTCTAATTATTGGGTCTGTGAATCACAAATGTTAATATCAATTGCCTAGCTCCATGTTGCTCGACCACGATGACTAATATGTTTTAAGCTTTAATGCCGTGAAACTGAATATGTATTATAAAAGTCATGGCCTATTTGCCTCTGGCAGTGACTTTATCTAATAAGGTGCATAATGCTTATAAATGAAAAATCTCATCTCATGCTTCCGACTAAGTCCTTTTTTATTGACAAGATCATCCATCCAAATAGATTCTCTCATTATCAATAAAGAAGGTAAGTTATAGAGATGACAGATTCGGACTGATTTGATGTTAAATCCTGGCTTCTCTGCTTTTTATAGCCATGCTGTATAGAAACAGAGATAATACTCAAAATTTTCAGAGGGAAAACGAAAAACACAGAGAGATGCTACGCTAAACACCGAATCTTGATGATATATCAGCCAAGTGCATTGAGAATTGACCGATCAAATTACGTACTGACCTGGGTGGCAGAATGGTAAATCATAGTAATCGTATGTCTCGCTGCAGGAGAGCAGTTGCAATGCAATAAAAAATCATGGGGAACCGAAACTCGAAGAAAAACATTGGGACATAAAATTAAGATGATGTAAAATGGATTTCCACACAAAGTAATGAGGAGGGTACCTGGGATTGTTAAGGGGACCCACTTTATTGACAAACAAAGGGATGGGATCGAGAACATTGTACCGGTGATCCGCCGGAGAAGCTGCCACTGGAGGAGCCGATAAAGCGAGACTGGTACAGAGCAGAAGAAGGAGAAGGGCCTGAGGCACTCGAGTCATAGGTGCTGAAGCTGGAGACGGTGAAACACACTGAGGACTAACGAATCCCAGATTCAGTGCTGTCGAAGTCAAACTCAAACCGCACAGTGCAATCAGCCGTGGGATGAGACAGATAGCATTTCTTCTCGCCGCTAAAACGACATACGACAACTTGAGAAAGGAAACGACACGTGAGAACGCGCGCTGTCAAACTAAAATTTTGGGGGTGTGAAACAGACCAGTACTTTTTATAAAAGCTAAGTGGATAACAGTGACAGTTGACGTATGTTGAATTTATATAATGATAATTATAATAATATGCAAGTAGTACGACACAAGAAACTGATCATGAACTAACTAAAATTATAAGAACACGAAGCATTTCGTTGCCAGATGCATTAACATGACAACTAATTACTCCTGTATGGCGGTAGTGCAGTGTAGAGGGAGACTGACTCCTGAGAAAAATCCAAACGTTGAAGTGAACTTTGTGAGCTCTGTGCAAAGAGTAGCTGCCAGAGGAAAAGCTTGAGCAGCTCACCATTTCCGCGGGACCTCAGGCGAGTTCCAATCTGCCCAGAGATGGATCAAGTGTTTTAATTTAACTATACTGTGATATGTTATACAATAAATTAAGTATTTCTTTCAGAACTAAAACGTATGGATTGATCCCATCATGTTATTATATTAAATAATCTGATACACAATAATTTTCTTACTCAGTCCACTTTTGCCCGCACGTTACGAGAATTAATTGAATTAGTGTTGCAGTGCAGATTTGAGCCACAAACAAGTTATTTGGGTTAGTCTGGTATGTTATCTATTGAGAGTTTGAAAGAAAAAGATGGACAGAAATGGATTTCCACAAGGGGGCAACTTGTGTGCCCCATTTTCATGTTTAACAATTGAGTTTGACTCCACCACCGTCTCCCAACATTAAAACATGATGAACTCCAGATTAACAGTCTCCGCCACCATCTTAATTAACACTACTACAAAATTAATTAAATATGACACCTCAAACTTGTCATTTATTTTAAAAAAGTGGTAAATAAAAATATGAGGAAAATATTTGATGATCATTTTAAATAAGCATCAAATATATAAATAAATATTTAATAATTATTTTATATAAGTGTCAAATAAAATATATATATATATATATTTATTCAACTCCTATTACTAAATAACCGTGAAGTGTGAGAAATATTTATTTTAATACTTACTCCCTATGTTAAAAAATATAAGATATTTTTTGAAGAATTAGATGTTAAAAAATATAATACATTTTAATCTTTTAAGATATAATTATTATTTTTTTTAAAAGTGCTTCAAATAATATTAATTTTATATTTATTGTAGAGTATTTAATAGAAATAAATATGAAAAGATAATATTAATTTTAAAATAAATTTATTTTATTGAGAATGAAATTTAATTAAAATTAATTTATATTTTTAAATGAGAGAAGTATTTGTAAACAAGTGTTGAATGAATATTACTTGATGTTTTAATTTATATTTAACCGTCAAATTTGTCCCCCTTCAATTCTTTTCATCGAAGCTCTCCTTCTTAAACCCTATCCTCCTTGTTTCGTCACCTTGCCACTATGGCGCCACCACCTCTGAGAGAGATATTGTTGTACTCCTCACTCACTTCGTCAGCTTTAAGCCTAAACCCTAGCTGCTTCGATTATTTTCTTCTCTCGCTCCACAATTTCTTTGCTACTGGCAATATGTAGGTTTCCCATTCTCTCCCGGCCTTTCTCTCTTTTTATGCGCTTTGGAATGCTTCACCTTCAGTGATCTTTGATTTATCCAACAAGAAACTCGTTAATGACCCCACACAGATTTCTCTCCTGTTTTCAAGGTGGTGACTTTTGAGTCAAAGTTGGAGGTTTGGGCTGGTATTATGGTAAGTTCCTTGCTTTCCCACCTCTTTCAATGCTTTTCTTTCATGCTATGTGTTTATTGTTTTTGTCTGAATTTCAGCCTCCTAGCTAGTCGTCCACACCATCACGTAAAAGGAGGAGCAGGCTCACAGGAACGATTCCTCTTGTCAAGAACTATAGATCCAAGGTTGAGTCCGAGTCGTCTAAGGTGTATTGCAAGAATGACTTTGCCTATTGAGTCTGTCAAAGAATCTGTTTCCAAGTTTGGAGGAAGCATAGATTGGAAAGCCCATCATGCTCAGCATATCCAGTAGGTATCTCTGGCTTCTTGTTGCTACTTTTCGGTCATGATGAAATTACTCCACTCAGGGCATTGATGATGATATAAGAAATAAAGAACAATTAATTAACTTTACTTTATTTGCAATTTTGCTAGATTTTATTAGAACAAGAATGAAGAAGGAAAATAAAACAAGTGGGTGTTCTTAGTAAGGGCTTTGATGGCACCAAAATTGTAGTCCTTTCTCCATTTTGCAAAGTAGAGAAATGAACTAATTTTGCTCTTCGTCACTTGCTTCCCACTTGGTTTGGACTAGTCACTGTTTCATGCATACATTGAGGCTTAGACAATTAAAAGATTTATATGCAGTGGTAAAGGTGTGAGTGCAGGATGTAATTCTATCTTCATGCTCCTTTAGAGTTTAATTACTTGCAAACTATTGTAATAATAAGAACTCTGTTCTTTACAGTGTTCTGAGGTTGCCTTTCTCTCAAGCTATTGTATTAAATTTAACAACTATTATGGCAAGGCTCTTTTTGCATGAGAAGTTGAAAATTGCTGACATTTAAAGTAATGTTTTTTAGTACAGTTCTTAAGATCGGATGAGATTAAATATGTATATTTTCTGTGAAGAACCCACAAAATTGTAGTTTGGTTGGACAAATTTTAATGGAATAACCATCTCCTTAGTTGACAATCATTTGATCAGGGCCTGTTTCCATACATGTTTTTGCCATTCTATATTCTTGGACTTGTTGTTATTAGACTTACTCACATTCTATGTTTTTGCACTTATCATGATTGTGCATGAAAACCTGATAAGCCCACAACATTATAGGATTTCAATATTAAACCACTTGCTGTTTCTTCAAAGGCAAGCACTCAAGTCGTTGTTAAAGGTGTCAACCTTTTCCATTCTAGCGCAAGGTAGATCTCTGCCTCATCGTCTGCATTATCTGAGTTGGCTCTTCTGCTCCTAACCATACACATGACCAGATAGGTGATTGAAAGATAAGCTACGTTGCTTCGGTCATGTCCATTGAGATGCACCAACATGGTTCTGGCTAATAGAAGTCTGTCTATCTAAGCTTTTCCTTTTCAAGCTTTGCCTTGCCTTGTATTAAAAAGAAAGAAAGAAAGAAGGAAAAGCTACATTAATTTACTTAATGTTATATATTTACTTAATGTTATATTATATATGTTGCTTAAATAGGTTTGAAAAGGCATGAGAACGAACCATTACTTGAATTTTTGGGATATAATATTGGTTTGCAAGTTCACTATGCACCTCTTTTTTCTGTTTCTATAATTCTGGAAGCAGGGAAGTTCTAGATTTTGTTTCAGGAGATGAAACAATTGAGATTGTTCTAGAATTAATCTATTCCTCTTGACTTCAGGTTACTCTGTGGACTTGAAAGGAAGTATCTGGCACAGCATAGTTGTTGTGACTTGATCGATGGTGTTGATACAACAAGTGAACATGATGAGCATCTATGCCTCAGCTTCTCTTCTACCATACCAAGTGTTACTAAGGGGAATTTATTGAGGTGGTGTCTTGCTTCTAATTTCCCCCTCTCGACATACACCTTTTAGTGCATGTATTTGCTTTTTGCTTTTTCAGTGAAAATGCTGCTTCCACAAAAACCATGCTTTGTGGTTTTCAATGCAGAAGTAAACATACTAGTTTTGTTTTTAGCATAGTGAATATAATTAATATTGATATGCTAAAAGAGATGCTTATTCATTGCACCAAGCTATAAATTATGGAGATAATCTAAATATATGTTTGTGTCTGTGTGTGTGGTTGTGGTTCATTATAGGCAATCTACCTTAGAAGGCCTAGACAATTGAATACGGTTCCCTAGAAGAAGATAATGTGCTAGTGGAACATTAAAATAATACAAAAACTATTGTACACAAATAACATCATTAAAATTCTCAATGGATCTCAAGGTGGGATGTGTCTACTTCCATGTCTTTCAATATATATTATGCTCAAAGGTAGTTCCCGCGGGTGTTGGGCTTTGTATTGTGAGAACCTTAGTATGTAATGTTTCTGACAATTCAAAGATAATTGCTATTTACAATGTCAAAGATAATTGATCACAAATCACATTTCTGACAATAACATTCTGATGTAGAGGACAATTATCTTGGTATGTTAATTCTAGTTTTTTCTTAATTTTTACTGCTTTGAGAAGGAGCTTGTAAATATGGATTAAAAATGCATCACTAGAAATTTTAACCTGTAAATTTTTTCAATTATGCAATTAATTAAGTTCCTTGAAATAATTTCAAATAATGAATGACATAAGATCCCTAATATCCTGTGTATGAATTTTGTAGGGCTTAAACTTCCAGCAATGAAAAAAAATTCATCAAAGACAGAAGAATCAAACTCAGAAACAGGCTGTTAGACTGGGAGTACTTTTACCCACAACATTTTTTTCCAGCCTTGATCCAGAATAAAATAAGGAGTTCATTGAGAAATATCATGTCAAACAACCTAGGAAGAAGTCTGTGATAAGAAGGTGCCAAACATTGATCAAAGTTGAGGTCAAATGAAGAATTAATTATTGGAATATGGGATTATTACTTCAAACACCTATAGGGGTGAAGAACTTGAAGAGTTATATTCTTATAGATTTGTTTTAAAACTAATTAAGTATTGCATTTGGTGGAGTTGGAGAGTAAATTCAAATTATATATTAATGATTGTAATTTTTTTCATGATTAATAATAGTTTGTTGCTATATTATGATAAAACAATTTTTAATTTGAGTTTTTGCATTTTCAATATTGAAAATAAGAAATTAATAAAAAATAATAAGATTATTTTATTTAACAGTTATTTTAAACAAATGTCAAATGAGGCTACTTTATTTAAACAAGTGTGAAATAAAGTTACTTTATTTTATGATTATTTTAAACAAAGGTTAAGACTATTTTATTTGGCAATACTTGATAATTAAAATAATTATCAAATATTATCTTTTAAAATTGACCAAATATTTAGATTAGGAAGGCAATACTTGATGGTTACTTTAAAATAATCATTAAATAAAGTTATTTTTATTTGATGATTATTAATCGTTAAGTAAAGAGCTTTTAATGTATGATATCATTTTATTTGACAGTTAAAAGTTATCAAATAAAATAAAAAATAATAGTCAAGTAAAGAGTTTTTTATAGTAATATAAAGCAAGTAGGTAGGTGCTATTGATTAATTCCATTCTAATATTGGAAAATTTTCATATTTTATAGCTTCCTGCAGTAATTCGGCTTTTATATTTGGGCTTCATCAGATTTATCTTACTGCTACTGTCGTCTTGCTCTTTTTAACATTTCTAAAACCAATATCGTGGACCATGATTTTTCCCAAAGGAAGTTGATGGTGTCACAAGTATCTGATCATATAATACCAGACCTTTTCACCTGTATGAATAATAGTAGTATGAGAGACGCTATACGATCCCTCGCATTGTTCAACCTCACCATTAATGATGCAAACTTGGAAAATTCACTTACTTTAATTTCAGATACTGTTGCTTAGACGGCAAGTAATGAACTTAACATACAGTTGGACATAATATTCAAACGAATTATTATTAATTCTAGGTTTTTGATTCCGACCAATCACCTGATCTCCCGCAATGCAGGCTGAACTCATCAGTGAATTACGGCTTAAGGGAATGCCGTATTTATGGAGTCCGTTCCTTAGAAACCTTCCAAACAACAATCCCTTTATCTCGAACATATTGCATGTTAATTCTGTATACAAGGTATATATATTATCAACATCCACACAACAGCCTATGAAGGCTAGCCTCTTATGTTAATCTATCTGAACCAAATCACCTTTTTAAAAGTTTAATCATTGACCTTTTAGAACCATACAAGATTAATCATTATGGTAGGAGGCACATGCGTATCATTGCCCATGTATAATATTTTCTCTCTTTGTCTTCCTCCCTTCCTTGAATCTGCACATATAGAGACCACAAACATATTAAACAAACATCTATATCCTCAATAATGATGCAGAATTTAAAACCTCAAGTTGTGTGAAAATATAATACCTGCTATTTTGGCTCTCTTCTGACTCCATGCGACAAATAAACCACATCTTCGTGATGACACTGTGTACCATATACAGAAAATTAAAAGAATCTTAACGTGGCGGAGTTTTAGGTAATGACAAGGAACAGATGTGGACTCATCAACAAAGGAGATAATACCAAACTGATCCATCTCAAAGGGATTAACTTATAAATACACGAAGTGGGTGTGCTTGTGGATTATTATTCTAATATTTTGGTTCATCAAATGGGATCACCACGTACTAAGCACATATTATATAACTTTAATACACACACATACATAATAGTGTGTAAAATACTTTGCTCTTAAATAAATAGGCTCCTAGTTGTAACATGACAGGTGGAGTGAAATGTATTAACCCTTGGCTATAAAGAGATGAAAAAGAGATCTTTAGATTGATTTTTCCCCCCTTTAACTTCTCGTCATCTATTGCCATCTTTAATTATCAGGGTTATAATGGGGGGTGAAAAAATTTGTCTTATTCTTCTCAGACAATATAAACAAATATATGTGACTTTTGTCAGTGAAGTACATGCAGACATGCAGTCCTTTGGCCCCTCATCCCAATGAAAGAACCAATAAGAAAACTCAGACGGTTAGAGGAGAGAGAGAGTGGAGTAGGAGTCAGTGATTCTAGTGGGTTCCTTCACAACACCCCTCAATTCAAATTTTAATATTTTATTTACTTTTTAATTTGTCTTTTAAAATATTATTCAATTATCAAAATTTTTTGATTTAGAATGTTTATATCTGTCTTAATTTTACTCCATCTTTGAGTGACCAAGAACTTTTCATATCAAACCAAAAAAATTGAAAGGAAAGATAAAGAGAAATGGCAAATGAGATTTCATGCATATTTCTCTCCTGTATTGTTATTCTATCATGAAATAGCTGAAAGACGCCTCCTGAGTTTATTTCTGCTGCTCAGAAACCCCACAAGCCCAGAGAGGCAGAGACAAGGCTGCTGGGAGAAGAGTTTGGGCAGCACTGAATGAGTTATCTATCTGAAATAGTGAAATAAAAAGGAAGCCATCAATCAGCTTTCTTAGCTGAGAAGGAGAAAAGAAAGGGATAGAGACAACCCATGAAGGATAAAAAAGAAATATGAGAAAAGGACTCGACCCTCTTTGTGGCAACTTGTAAAGATACTACTTTGACAAGAAAGTTTCGATCTTTCGCAGCTCTGTGACCTTACCTATCCACGATTCTATTGCTATATATCCTTATAATTAGAATACAAAAGAAAACAAAGGTAAGCCACCCCCATGACTTCTTTCTGGGTATGCAGTTTTTCTAGTTCTTCTGTTTCTGTTGTGAATTTAATTCTGCAAAAATGCCAACTCTTTAGCTTCGGTTTCAGGACAGAGCAAGAGAATGGTCTGAAGAGCTTTGCATGGCGACCCACAGAATAGGAGAAACTGGTTTATCTGAGTCAGGACCTTCAACTTCAAGTCACCATGCTCCTTATGGGGTTCTTCACGGGATTAATTCTCCTCCATCCAGCTTAATGTATTTTTCGATAGTTTCTCCTTTTGATTCTATTGACAATCATAGTTTTTCCTTACGCATGACTTGGGTTTAATCCTTTCTCTTTTTCACTCCATCTTTTTGTTTGGTTTTCTTAGCAATCAAGGATCTGGTTTTTACTTTGGAGGATTGGAAGAAGCAATTCTGCAAGGAGTGAAGATTAGGAATGAAGAAGCCAAAGCATGTATGGTCTCCCTCCCTTTCCATCGTTCATTTCACTGACGTTAAAGCAAAACCCATGACTTGATTTTCTGGCCCTGTAACTGCTGATAAGAGGATTGGGTTCATCCACCTTTTTGATATAGTTGAAAATCATCGAGTCCTTTTTTATATTTTTCTGCTTTTGTGATTCTTGCAGCTTTATTCACAGGCAAGCCTGCAGCTACACTGGAGATGTTCCCTTCATGGCCCATGAGATTCCAGCACATCCCAAGAGAAGTAATTGCTTTCTTTGAACACCGATAGTCTAAAAAATAAAAGGTTAATTTTTTCTTTTATTTTTCACAAGTTAACAGGTGGAGGTAACTTGAAAAAATTTGTCCTGATACAGAGTGGTTCAAAGTCGGGAGGGGAGAGCACTGATTCAGGATCAGGACTGAATACTATTTCAAGCAAAACAGAAGCACAGTTTGAATCAGAATCTCCCTTGAGTAAAAAAGCATCTTGTACTGATTATCAGGCTCTTGAGCAGCAGCAGAAACAGCAGCTACAGCAACTAGAACAGGAGATGGCAATCGATGCCTCAAGATGCCAAACACAGAATCAGAATCAATCAGCTGCTAGACCGTTGAAGGGAAAGGTACTTGTAATTCATGGACCAGTTTTTTCTCATAATTAATCTCTCACTTCTCTGCTTCTATATACCCCGGAATCCAGAAAAAAGTTAGCCTCATTAATGTTGTTATTAATACTGCTTTGATCTCTCTGTATATCTTCATGAAAGAGCGGCGCAGATCCCAATCTCTCTCAGAAAATCAAAGGAAAACAGAGGTTTTCTGACTTCTGATTAATGTGTGATTTGATATGTGAGGGGGAGAGAGAGAGATGTGTACAGAGTCAGCAGACAAAATTAGAATTGGATTTTTAAAAAAAAAAAAAGAAATAATCAGAGAGAATCTTGCCAGTACATGTCAACTTTTGTCATTAATAAAAGTTATCCTTTTCATCAGTCCGGGTAAACTCGGAGAAAACTTGTGTTGTTTTGGAGTTAGAATCCTCAACCGCCTTAAACATACACCAAAACAATGGCAAATTGCATGCCTCAAGAGAAATGCCTCAACGCAAATTCCCAGAGCACCCTTAATAATCCCGTACGTCTTCCAATATTCTTACTTGAAATTTTACAGTCTAGTGTCTCTCTTAGCCTTGCCTCTGCTAAGTTCTAACCTTGTGGGAACTTCGCTAAGTTGAACAGATCTCTTCATTTCCTCCTTATATGACAGAAACTGAGCTGAACACTCCAGCGAGATTTGAGCCAGTCTCTTCATTTTCTCACATTTTTTCCAATGAATAAATATTCCTCGTCTTTTTAACTTCTCTAAAGAAGATGGGTTGTTTACGATGCAGAGGAAGGGAGGCGGTCCTGCATCAGAGAAACAACTTGATCCAAAGGTATTTTGAAAATGACAATAGATATACAAAACTAAGTATTATTCCTTTTCTTAATTTTAAAAAGATGAAAGAGCTAATGTTCCCATGATTGGTTGCAGACACTTAGGCGTCTAGCTCAGAACAGAGAGGCTGCGAGGAAAAGCCGTCTCAGAAAAAAGGTATCGCAGAAATCACAGTTTTGTAGATTGATAGCCGGTGAAAAGTGAAAACTAACAAATGGAATGTGAAAGATAGTATATATGTGTGAGTAATTATGTTTCGTTCTATCCAAACAGGCTTACGTGCAGCAGCTAGAGTCAAGTAGAATAAAGCTTTCCCAGCTCGAGCAAGAGCTTCAAAGAGCACGCTCTGAGGTTTTGAAGAAATCATAATCTATTAATCCTTGCGTCGGATAATAATTGTAGAAATTGTGTAATAAGTTTTTTTAAAAAATATTTTATTATTTTAACCATTTTTATTTGATCTTGTTTGTTTAATAGGGACTGTTGATGGGCTCTGGTGGTACTGCTAGTGCCAACATAAGTTCTGGTGAGTTTAACTGTTCCTCTAAGATATATTATCGAAATGCAATATCGTTTTCTCAATCCTAAAATTGTGTACTCGTCTGGAAGAAATATATCAATACATGACTGTGGGACAGGTCATCATTAAGTGGAAGAGCAATTTAGGATTATACTTAGAAAACTTAAAGTAATAATAATCTTTTATAATTACCAAAAGGGGAAAAATCTCAAAGCCCATAATTTCAAGAAATGAACAAGTTCCTGCCCTATATTGGTAAAAAAGGGAGAGATATTTTTAAGGAAGATCCTACTGTGATGGATATCAATGAGATGAGAATTTAGTGTGCAGGCTTTTCAAAATCAAAACATAAAGTAAGCTTTGTTTACTTCAACTTTTCAGCGAATTATTGATTTCATACGATACTGCTGCATTCCCCTTTTGGTAAAACAACACTCTTTAAAGGAAGCGAAAAAGCTTCATCATTCTCACCAACAAAAAAGTTCACAAGAAGAAATAAATAAAATACTTATATGCGCTCAGAGAATAATGCACTCTAATTTCTCGGATAGGGGACCAATTAAAAACAATGAATACGACAATTTTATGGAGTATGGTAATGCATCAATTTCATCGGGGCCGCGTGGCATTGCTTGCCAAATCAACATCTGTGAAAGTACATCAATAATCAAAATCTTATTAATTTTAGAATATTATTTTCATACAATTAAATCATTTGATATCGATTAATCCCCGTGAATAATACGAATAAAGCATAATAATAACGCACAAAGCAAAGGATTCATAACTCACAGTAATTAGTAATAAGAAGATTGTGGGCGATATATGGACATACAGGTGCTGCAATATTTGACATGGAATATGGAAGATGGTTGGAAGAAGACCAGCGGCACATGGAGGAGCTGCGACGGAGCTTGGAGGTGGCGGTGTCGGACAATGAACTGAGAGTAATGGTGGAGAGTTATTTGAGGCACTACGACGAGATATTTGAACTGAAGGAAGTCGCAGCAAAATCAGACGTGTTTCACGTCATGAACGGAATGTGGACCACCCCGGCCGAGCGATGCTTCCTCTGGATTGCCGGGTTCAGACCCTCCGATCTCATCGGGGTTCGTTACATCTAAATGCATATGTACGTGTGCGTGCGTGCGTGCGAGTAGATATATAGATATTACAGCTACTGGGGTGTTGTGGCCGGACAGATGTTGATGCTGCAGTTAGAGCCGGTGGCGGAGCAGCAAAGAATGGGGATGTATGAGCTGAGACAGTCGACGCTGCAAGCGGAGGAGGCTCTGACTCAGGGGCTCGACCAGCTTCAGCACTCTCTCCTTCACACCGTCGTCGGAGGCCTCACTGTCGATGGCGTTCACCAGATGTTTCTCGCTATGACCAAGCTTTCCAACCTCGAAGCCTTTATCCGCCAGGTACGCTATAATACCTACCTGCCTATAGCTAGGGCTTCATTTTTCTATACACTGTGTTTGACTTAAATGGGCATGATTTGAATCCCCCATTATTACGTGCCGATCGTTCTTTCTTTCTTTGACTCCGACTCTTGCAAGTATAGCTCATATGTCATATATTAAGACACACACAAACATATATATATATATATATATGTATATATATAATGTAATTGAAACGTTGCTTTCTGGTTTCTGTTTCAATCTACAGCTCTTCTAATTTGCTCATTCCTTATTTTTTGAGCCGCATTTCTGTGTTATTGTGCACTATATAAATATTCATTTTGCTTAGTCTGCAAACTACTCGCCTGAATAGCAGCCACCCACAGACACAAATTTAATACACATCTATCCCAGTATATATATATATATATATGTATGTATAGTATGAGTATCTGCCTTTATTATCAATTTAGGTCTTTGGTAATCATCATGGCTTGGTCGAAGATTCCGTGCATGTAATATAATAATTAATATCTATTCCTTCAAGCCATCGCGTATTTACCTATCCCTATAACATGATGTATATAATAGCAAATATAACGAATATATTACTCCATATAATTTTGCGAGTTTTGTCTGACACGTCTCTTACAAAGAAGTATGGATATCGACACATGTAGCTGTATATAAATATGATTTTTTTTTTAATACTGGCCACGGATAACCGTGCAAAAAAAAGTTTTTCTGCTCCGTAGCATGTCTCTCTTCAGAATCCTCATTTAGATTGGCAAGAATTGTAGTTTATTGGGGATGAATTGATATTGCCTGGCGGCTAAGGTGTCGCTCAAAGTTTGGAAGTTGCTTTCGTTTCTCAATCTTAAATAAATGTATTAATCAGAAGTTGGTATTGAAAGTGATATGCTCAACTTGGACTTTATATCAAGGTGTTAAAGGTCAATTTCCTCAGAATGATTGCTAATTAATTATTTCTAGGATCATTCAAAACATTTTTTGAAAAAAATTATTTTGAGTCTATTATGCATGAGAAATAGTCCAAATTTATATTTACACAAGACAATCCACGGCGCTTGAGGAGTCCATGTGCAAGGTAGTTGGACTTCGGTTTTAATTATATATATAAAGAAACGAGAAAAATAACGATAACTAGATGAATAATCTTATATATAGTGTCTAATAGCTGACAAGTTACATATAAATTAATTAATATGATGAAATTTGAACTGACTCAATTATTCATGCATGTAAATGAATTGAAGGCCGATAATTTGAGACAGCAAACACTTCACCAGTTGTGTCGACTGCTGACAGTTCGTCAAGCAGCAAGATGTTTTCTTGTGATCGGAGAGTACTATGTTCGTCTTCGAGCTCTTAGTTCTCTTTGGGCATCACGACCACGAGAGTAAGATCTGATTATATCCTTACTATAATATTTAAGTTATTTCATTCTAAATTAGGGTTCGGTCAAAAAATAGCGTATTTTATCAAACAAAAATATACTACTTTTATTTTCATGTTTTATGATTGTCCTTTAGATGATACCATATATCAGTTTTGAAGAATATGGAGGATAATATTATTTTACATTGCATTATTCTAACAGGGCATTGATCAACGATGAGACATGCCAACAAGTAGCAACAAACATGGCAATAGTTCAGTCGTCCCAGAACCATTTCTCGAGTTTCTGATAATACATGAAACCATTACCCTGAAAGTCGTTTTTGGTGCGAGTGAACATGGATATCAAGAAGAACACGGCGTGTTTCTATATTTTTCTTCTTTTTCAGCATTAAATTAAATTCACCCTTTTGATAACTATATAAATATATATATGTTGATCGCGAGTTTCATGTGATTGATGAGGAAGCTTCTACTTTTGCTAAAAAGAAGTACAATTTAAACAGTCCATATTGAGGAGGTGAGTTAATCATGTAGATGCCTTTTAGGTATATAAATTGGTGCCATCCCTTATATATATTGCCTTCTTTTTCTTCAACCTTTACGCTTTCTTTAATTTTCATGCACACACACACAGTGTGTGTATACCCAAAATTGAGGGGAGAGAGTGAGAGAGAGAGAGAGAGAGAGAGAGAGAGAGAGAGAGGTGGCTGCAAGTTGCACATTGCATTATACATGGTCGTTGCAAGTTGAGTGAAAGATAATATAATTACTCAGAAAAGTCAAATTGGAATTATGAGGGCATAAACGCTGTCTGGTCTTGGTGGTCACTACACTATTAACAAATGTACAGTATTGTTTCTATCCATAAACACTACCAAATTAATGCATAATTCAGTCACATCGGGGTTAAGCAAGGCACGATTCTTCAAGATGATTAGTTACGATCTAATTATTTGTTTGCAAATGCTGGGTTTATGTTTTTGTGTATTACATTTGGATCCATTATGATTTATGAATAATGTATAGGAATTTAGATAACTGGGAAGGATAGGGATATAAGTCATGATCCGGGTGTTATATAACCATTCTCCTGTTATGAGAATATAGAATAATGGAGGATACGTACAACGACAATGCAACATGACTTTATCTTTCTTTAATATTAGTTTAGTGCATTCGTCCCTTTAATCAGATTAATATAATATAAAGGGACGTATGCATGTGGTTGAGATCTTCTCAAACCCATTGAATGCTGGATCGCTTTCAGATAAACATATATAAATTCGTGGGCATAATTTTCCCTATCATTTGTGAAAATAAAATTCTAAAAGCTTGATAAATAATAGAATAAAATGGTATCTTGTAATTCATATAGCCAATCCCATTTAACGGAATAAAGGCTTATTGTTGTTGTTGTTTGTGAAAACAGAAAATTAGCCAATTCTTTTGTTTATGCTTTTCTTACCTAGATAGCCTTCTGTTTATCTGACAAAATCAAGAATTTAACTTTGGCCTACCATACTCATGGTTTTAGATATGACTAGATTATAGTCTCCTGCACGGTTTTGCCGTGGCCTTATAATAATAAAAAAAAAAACTTTGGCTTGTGTCTCTCTGGCATTGAACTTTTGCAGCAGCTTGTTAGTGAGACGTGCATGTGAGAGCCAGTCAAACAGGAGCAGATCTAAGTACTTTTCCGTTTGAGTGCTGTCGTCTGCCGTGTTAATTAGGCCGTGATAATTAGAACTAATTACAAGAATATTTACGGTAAGACGATGATGATGATGATGATTAAGGAGTATGTTAGATCGGAATTGTTACGCCAATGTAATGCAAAGAGCATCATATGCCATATATTATTATAGTAATTAATATGAAGTTATGAGGAGCAAGCATTAATGATTGCTTATTGAGCGTCATCAGTTTTAATAAAAAGCGACATGTATATGTAAGGTCATATCATAGGAGTGAAACAAATAGGAAGGCTGAAAATGATCCCAAAGAAGCAATGGAAGACTAGCTAGCTTTTTCCCTCCCTCATGTGTGAATATAAGCAAGTTAAAGAATACCAAAAAGGACCTTGGTGCAGGAAGATTATTGTCTTCTTTAATCTTGGCTTAGGCCATCTTGTGAGTATGAGTAAGCAATTACATTGACGACCACTTTCAATTCTCAGGAGGTAGAATGGACAGGAGATCAAAAGAATTCTATGATAGCACCTACTAGAAAATTTGCAGACAACTAGTACTTGCTTAAACGTAACAATGTATAATTAAATCCTCTAAAGAACTCTACATATTACTAATTAATAGAAAAAATATAAAAGCCATACTCAAATTTGGACCTTTGTGAAAAGCCGGAGGCATATAGAAAGGAGAATAAAGCTTGAGTTCTACTCAAATATGCATGAGCAATAATAGGTCTGCCTGGAAGGTCACTTCTTTTGGCATCAGCAATGGTCAATTTATTTTGTTTTGCCCTTTCAAGGTTTTTGCAGATATAGCCTATTTTATTTGACCAAACCAAACAAATAACCTAACGTTTAGTATATTTTGTAGTATGGTTGATTTATTATAGCTATTAATAATATATCGTTGCATATCAATGATAAATTTATTATAAATTTCTAAATTTTTAATGATAAACTCCACACACACATTCTATATCAATAATAAATCCCTTGTATATTAATGTAAATGTGACCACAATTTTAAATTTTTAAAAATTTAATTCATATTTTTTAGACACAATTTTTTTAACCTAATGAATCCCACTAAATTGCCTCAATACGCTGCCCAATAAAAGCCCGTACATGGACAGGAATAGCAAGCCAACATGGAATCAATATTTTGTAGGGCCTATTTGACCAAGAGTGACAAATTTTTTTCAAAAATATTGAAAGACAGGTCAAACAAACCTGAGATTATAAATGTTTAGTAAGTGACAAACTGTTTATCGGCCCAAAGATAGTTAGCCAGGAATATATATATATATATATATATGTAGCTTTCTTAGTCTAAGAAACGAACTAACAATGGCAGATGGTTAGTAAGGAAAGCCTTCCATCGTTTTGGCTCCCCTCATAATGAATGAGATAACTTTAATTCTTCAATCCTCGATCTGCCCGCTAAACTGATAAGACCACATTAGGAGAGCTAAACGACAATAATTTCACATCGACAGGACTAGCTATGTTCAAGAACCTCAACATTTTGAATTAGTATTGTTTTTGCTTTAGACCTAGTGTCCTCTCGTTTGTTTTAAGATCACATATGTACAATTGCCATTACTATGCTGAAAAAAGTTTTATCTTCGACCAAGTATAATTTTATTAGCAGAAGCCAGTAGAGTGTTATATCCATTCACATAATCTCGAATAAGTCATCTATTGGTATTTTATGGCTAATGAGATCATGGTCTGATAAATCATCCTCATCTATGTTCAACTATGTACCTATACTTCGATGCCCACAAGATCACCAGATAAACCTTATTACTTAGGAGGTTGCAAGCTCCTAGATTCAATGGAATGCTTCCCTTTAGATGTATCATGGCCATCACATAATGTTAATCCGTCTCTAACAATATTGCCAACATTATCCCCAGATTGACTAGATTCACGAATTGATAAACTCACTGGTTCCTTTACTTTTGAGAACACATACTGACGTCCCCAAGACCAGGAATAACACTTATGCTTGGGCTTTGCATCTATTTTGTGCTCATTTTAGTGACTTTCCAGTGAATGCCAGCCAGCTCTGGAAATGGCATTATTTCTTGACCGATCCCTGCTATGATTTTTGTCTCTCCGACTTCTCTTTCCCTTAACTCAAATGTTAAAAAGACCATTGAGGTTTATTGTTTTGGGGGAAGAAGTACCACCACCAGTAACCAGCTTTTCTCTTTTCTTCTCCTTCATAAACCGGGGCATGCTCCTCGATGATAATTGCTCAGACAAGTGAATTGAACCTTGTAAAGAATCTGGTAGTCCATTGTCTACATTATCATCTGTGTGGGAATTAAATTTCTCAGGAGTACTAGAAACTATACATGCAGGATCAGATAAATCAAAATTCGAGAGAAAAAAATCAAAGGAACTGACACTAACCAATCTCTTGTATATCAGTAAAGATGTTGTCGATGAAGTAAAGCTCTAATTACACAACTAAGGTAGGAGAGGGAGAGAGGAGGATGACACCTTATGATTAAATATTGACAGGTGAGAATGACATGTAATTGACAGCTAAGGGAAACTAACAGTGGCATGCTCTTTATATATTAGATTTATATATAATGCACAAGATATTACATATAATTGTCGCATTGACAAGTGAGAATTCAACAACTTTACATAAATGATAACTGAATTTTTAATGGAAAATAAGTTGACATTTAAAGGGACTATGAACAATAAAAATATCAAAGAAACAACAATAATTTTGTTAGTTTAGATCTGTCATTGTCTCAAGTACAAACTAAATGATAAACAAAGATCATAAAGCATCTTAAATCAAAAAAATATATCATGGGATTAAGAACAACATCTTATCAATGTTAAATTACATTTTAAAGAAACACTCACAATAAGTTCTCTCTCTCTCTCTTAAGTATTATATATTATATATCAAGCCATGTTAACTTATAAAAAATGCAAATTTAATAATATAACATGGAGGACAATTGAATTGTCCTGAAAAAAAAAGTAAATGTGAAGAGCGAAAATGAACAACAATAATTTCAATAAAAGAGCATTAATTTCATTAGGTTTGGTTTATCTTGTTGTCAAGTAGTCAACATGATAAATAAAGATTATGAGGCACCCCATATTAAACAAATATACCATGGGGGGTTAAGAATAACATCGTGCTCATGTTAAAAACTACATGCTACCCTATATAAAAAAAATGAATAAGGGGGATGATCATAGGAATATTTTAAAGTACAATCATAATTTCATTCACTCTTCTAAAGAAATCATTTAATCAGCATTTCCTTATAGCTCACTTGATTTGTAATATGCTTTGAATAGAAAACTGGATCAGACCGGTTAATTTGACCAGGTGAACCAGCTAGTTAGCCGGTTTGGTTCATAAGTTAAGCTAGGGTATGATTAACCCGGTCAACCTAGGTGTAACCTACTAGGTTAGCTAGGTTATATTTAAAAAAAAAAAAGACAAAAGCACATACTAGTAGAGAAAGAGAGAATGACTATGAGGAAGATGGAAAATATCTAAAAATAAATTAAGAAAAGAAGACATTTTATGTGAAACCACTACCTTGGATATAATTTTTCAGCCACAAAATTATCAGATATGCGATGAAGTTATGAGAGGAGCTAAGAATCGAGCAAAACATTACAGTTCAGGCCAGGGAGATGTGAGCGGAGAAAAGAGGAGGAAAGAAGACAATTTAATGATACTAGAGCTCTGCTTGTCAATGGGTATTAGACGGTCTTAGAGTAACAAGGGTCTTTTTTCTCTCTCCACGTGCTAGCATCAAATTTAGTACAATTTTCATATTATTATATTGAAAAATGCAAAATGGGCGGGACCTGATTTGGAATTTGAGGGAGGCAAAATCACAAACATTATTATATTATCATTTTGTAGTAATTAGATAATGCAAAAAAATCATATACTATTATAAAAATTGTAATTCTCATTTCCATTATTTATTGCTAAACGTTGTCCATGGTGGTAGAAAATGAGAAAAGTAAATAAAATATATTAAATTATTCTTTTAACAAACACTGAATTAATAACTTTAAAAAAATTAAAAGTAAAAATTATAATTTTTTGTCTTTAACTGAATATTCTAATTTATTTAAATATTCATTTTTTCATATTAAAAAATATAAATATTTTTATGCATATAAATTAAATTATATTATTTTAATGAAGACCAGTTTGACCTTTGGTTGAACCACTAACCTTTAACCTATTGTTTTGATCGATTTTCAGTACCTTGATGATATGCATGAGTTAAATTTGCAAGAGCTTCTTGACTTGAATTTATTTTTTCTCATCTTCAAACAAAACCTTCCACTTTAGTGTGTTTAAAACATTATGCCCAAAATGAAAATTAGCAACTATCACAAGTGAGTCATTCATGCCATGCTATATTTAAGTATAAGATGTTTATCCAAAATGAAATGATTATAAAAATTTTCTCTTTCAATCAATTAGTCATATGCTTTTTCTTTAGGGTACTAAGTAGCAAGTGAGAAACTGTGGTCATGACTGAACTAATGAAAGAAGATGTGGGAATTTGTGAAATGAAAAAACATCAAGGCATCATTATATGTATTTATATTATGTTGCATGGTACCTTGCAAAAGCAGGAAATAAAACTTACCCATTCCAAGAAGACTTTCTCAACTCCTCTCCAAGTTGCCCTTGAACTACTTTTGTCACTAATTATTTCTAGTATAAGAACTCCAAAGCTATAGACATCAGCCTTCAAGGTTAACTGATTGCCTAATGCATATTCTAGGGCTAGATAACCGTTATGCAAATGAAAAACAAAGCGAAGTATAGTTTTTATCACAATCACAGTATGGATTGACTAAATTTCAAAATACAAATTAGTACAAGCACATATATAGATTAAGATACCTTGAATCCTGTTACAGCAGAAAGCAATGATTAAAAAACTGAATCGGACCTAACGATCAGACTAGTCTGATCGTCAACTGATCCGAATTCAGCTAGATCAACATGTAAATTTGCTTTGGGGGTTGAGCAAAGTTGGGTTGGCGATTGGATTGAAAACTAAAATCAAGCTGTAAACCGAACTATTTAGGACTTTGATTTAAAAGAAACGAGGAGTAAACTTTTTCCATCATTGAAAATATATGAATTAATCTTTGTAATCATGTTTTTGGCCTAGTGGCTCAAACGTACAGAATATATATCAGGACATCATAACAGATTTTGCCCATAAGCTTCAATAACATTCAAATGAGCTCTCATGTTTAACTAATATACAGTCAAAAGATGACAGCATTAGTGATTCAAATAAACATGATTTGCTTTATTTTTATTTTTAATCAAACTCATCTCACGAGTGCCCTTTGAATTATTATTGGAGTTTTGGTGAAACAGAATCAAAGACATTCTATTATAAAATCTTGCTCAAAATTGGTGTCTCTGTTATACCTAGGTGAGTCAAACCCAATTGAATGTCAAACTCTCTAATGTGGATACCTTTATTATATGGCTAGTTTTGCTAGCGCACCTAAATGTGAAATATTAGCATAGACGAAGAACTCCTTCTTCCTATAGTCAATATTAGTTGATGTTTTGTGTAGACTAAGAAATAATAGCTAAAAGGCCAAAATAAATTGAGTATGAGTGCAAGATTGCCCTATAAAAATTCATAATACAAATGTCAGCAGAGAGAATAAGTAGAAGAAACGCTCCTCAGCGGCTTTATTCTTTTGGTTTAAAATTTCAAGCTTCTCTTTGTGGAGATATTTTTCTTTGATAGTTTTGCACTGATTGAGACAATAACAAATTTTATGGTTTTATATATGACGTGGCATGATTTGAAACGAGATCTTAGGTGACAGATGAGGAGGCGATGGAGGGAGGAGTTGCCAATCACCTTTAGTAGGCAGAGATAGAGGCAGCGACAGTAGGAGGAGTCACCATTGCCAATCATCTTCAAGCTCAGCAACTTCAAAGACATTCCAATGGTTCTCCGATTAAGGCATACGAAGAGAGAATTTCACAAAGAGGCATTTCAGTTAACACTGAAAATTGTTTTATGAATATAATAAGAGACTTGCTTCTTCAAAAACATTTGATCCTTGGGACCAAAATTGGTTTTTGGCCAATTTTCCCTTTAATATAACCTAATTTTTTTTGCCAAAATATAACCTCATTTGTAAAACATTAAATAGAAATAGACAATATAATAAATAAGGAAGGGTAATATTAAAACACTACAACTAATTAAACCTTGTTTTTACTAAAATGTCTCATATTTTAGAACACCAAATGACCTCAAAATGTGTTTTGTAATTTCACATGGAGGGAGTATAATGGAATTGATTATTTCATAATTCTAACGTTCAAGAGATTTATGGAAGAAAATAGTAGTTTATCTTTTTAGAATTATTATAAAATTAATGGAATGAAATGTATTATAGTTATTTTTTAAATATTAAATTTATGGGTTGAATTAGATGATAACCTAATAACATTTTTTTTTTTCGTTTTTATCCTATCCCATAATTTGGTTAGAACGTTCTCTAAAAATAATTATGATAATCTACATTGCATAAAAATTATTCATATTTTTAATATTATACATGACCTTTTATTTTCAAATAGAAAATTGCAAAGATAATTAGTAGTAGTAGTTAATAAAGCTTTAAATTGCAAAGAAGTGCTGAATTTAGGATATCTAAGGGTTGATTCCTTGACCATTAATTCAAGTCATTTCCACCTTTTTTTTTTTAAAGAAAAAATGATGGCTCAAACTTTCCTATTTAAAAATGAGAATGGGCCATGAAACTTATCAAGAGTTGGCATCCCTCTTTGATCTTGTTCTGGTTTGGCGTATTTGAGCAGATGAGCTAAGCTAAAACTTCCCATTAAGCTTGTTCCAATAGGCCTATTAGACAAACTTTTATACACAACACACACAGACACACACACCTTAAATTAATTTCATTAAGTTATTTAAAGAAATTATTACATGTTACATTTAATTACCATCACTCCCTACCTCTCGTAGACTCCGCATCCCCAACAATGCAAAACTTGTTCCGGAGTCCTACTCCCCCCGCTTTTTATTTTTGATGATTTTTCGAAATTATTTCTTTATACGTGGATACAAGTTTTATTTTTGTTTTTTAATTTATATAACATATATATATATATATATATTGTTCTAAGTAGAATATTTTACACCCAACTATAAGAGGGCTAGAGGAGGGGGATTAGTCCAGAAAAAGGAAGAAAATGGTTGGCAGCTTGCATGCACGAGATTGGGCTTGACTTCAAATGATTTCTCAAAACCCAATTTTGGCTGTTCAAAAATTTAAATTGGGTTTTAACAGATTCAAACCCAAGTTCGAAGGGGGAAAAAAAATTGGCCTTCGTGGAGGCTAACATATATGCTAATCTTAAGCTTGGACTAATTCAATCAAAATTTAAACTGCCATATTTTCTCCTTTATTTCGATGCATGCTACTCCATTCAATTTCATCCTGTAAAACCCTTGAACAATATATAAGTGTCATTTATACAGCGCTTAAAATAAACTGCTCTTTTTTTTTTCCCAACATACGTACAGTATAACTTCCCGCAGCTGTATAGATATATTGATCCTGGTAATGATTCTGAAATTTATTTCTTAATTTGTTTTCTATTGCATGCTTAATGATTTTAATTGTATTTCAAATATATTCATACAATCTTCATAAGTAATTGGGTTAAGCAAGAAATCTATTATCAAAATTTTTACGCTGGCATATTTGATATCTTTAAATTTTTTTGATGCAATTTCACTCAATATTTTTTAAAATTGTATAATTTTATCCTGTCATCAACATTTGACTGCCGTTAACTTTGAAAATTTAATTATTTTGTGCCTCGCTAAATTGCCACATTGACATCTACGTATGATATATATATATATATATATATATATTAACCATTGCCACATCATCCCCCCACCACTGTTATCGACCGTTCTTCTTCCATCTTCTTCTGCAAAATCTGAAAAATCCATATTTAGACCCAAGTCTTAGACCCAGATTCACCATTTTTCTTCAGTCTTCTTCTCCATCAAATCTGAGTTCTTCTGCATGTCTTGAAGACGACTAAAGAATTGAAACAAAATCAAAGCATTTTTTTTTTTTTAGTAGAATAAGGAAACTTCATTCATAAAGGAATAATCATATACAAACCAAAAAAATATCAAAGAAAGATAAAACAGAAAGGACCCCTACAGGGAATCATAACAAACCCAAGAGGAGGTGCCTGATACAAATTAAAATTACAAAAAATATTATATGTCAACTTAGTTAGATATTCAGCACCCATATTCTCTCCTTTATATCAAAAATGAATGTTAATATTTCAATTCCTAAATCAAAGCATTTTTCATTGCCTGTAGAAGACCCCCAATGGAATCCCCAGCCCCAAAATCAAATTAAAACCAGAAATCTCATCTAAGAAAAATCATTATTAACAATCTTATATTTACAATACAAATGCAAACCATATCTGGAACAGAATCGGGAAAACAGAACAACAAAATTAGGAAATCAATAGAATAAATTGATATGAACATTTGCGATCAGAACCAGATTTACAAAGTAATCTCAATCCAAAAGACAAATCAGAAAACCATAATCTCATATCTACAATACAATACAAACCATGGATCTCGGAATAGAAAATCAAGGCTTCGAATTCGACAAACCCAAGTCGGCGAAGCCAGATTGTGCTCGAGCTCTTTCTTCCCCTCCACGCCCATGCCGCTCTACAAGCAAAAATCAAGGCTTCGAATTCCATTCCCCTCCTAAACTCAAGGCTGTGCCCAAGCTCTTTCATCGTGCAAGGTCATCAACAAACTCAAGGGCATGAGATTTTGATTTTGATTAAACCCTTTTCTAGGTTTTGCAGAAGAAGATTGAAGAATGAGGGAGAGGCAGGAATGAAGAAGATGAACTGCTATTGACAGCGTGAACAACTTCCTCGGAATCGATGGAAGCAAGCTGGGGCGTCGCGAGGAGGAAGGGGAAGGGACGAAGAGGAAGATAGGGACCTTTTTTAAAATAATAAAAAATAAAAAAAGGGTCCCACTGCCACATGGTAGTCAACAAAGTAATTAAAAGTCAAAATTAAGAAGTCAACAGTCCATAAGATGAAACTGTTAGCTCAGAACAAAATTATATTGATTTAAAAGATATTGGGATAAAATTATGTAAGAAAAAAAAATTTAAAAATACCAAATTTGCTTGTGTAGAAACTCTGAAAATAGATTTGTTCCTTAATTATATGTAATTTCAGACAGTGACCAGATGATGGATTATAAACTCTATTATTTTGTTGCATAATTTTCATATAACAACTGTACTTCAAAGTTATTAAAAAAGAAATTATTACTGCATATAAGAAGTCCCTAATCAACGTGACTTTAGAATGATTTTATAATTTTATGAGCTTTTTCTATATTTAAATTGTCCTGTGTGACATGAAAGTGATTTAAACAATATATCATTTCTCTGTAATTTAATTACACGCTGTCATATAAGAGCCTTGAACATCCTATTTTTGAACTTATAATTTTAAAATTTATCATTTTCATATCTCTCTATACCCAATCATGTACATCTATTTAATTATTCATGTAATCTAATGATATGAAATTGTTAGTTATAACATTAAAATAAATAAATTATTCACTATTATCACTCAGATGCTCCTTTGAAAATAAGTTTATAATACTTGTTTATGATAATCACTAAATGAATAGTATATTTATTTTAACGACATAATTAGCAATCTGACGCTATTAAACTAAATGAATAATTAAATAGATGGCTATGATTAAGTATGAATGAATGTATTAAGAGAAGGTACATAGAAGATTCAATTCCATATAAAAATGACAATATTTTACCTTAACCCGACCCAACTTTACCCTCATTGAGTATAACTAGACAACCATCCATGAAAATTTAATAATGCGCGGCATTAAAGTATATAAAAAAAGACTACAAGGCCGTAAAATTGCTTCAATACCCTATACATATAGCATAAGGATACATACGGTCAAGTAATAAAAAAAAACAATAACTAAAAAAGGTTAACGGTTTTTTTATACACCACACTTCCACATTTGATCCGATTTGTATCATTGTCTGTGTCTCCTCTGAGCATAACTTAGAATGCATGGAACCAGTAGCCAAGGAACTTGCCTTTGGCAACGGGCTGCAGCAATATGAACGCTCGTAACTGTATAAGTCGCAGAAGCATCACTATCAGCGCAGGGTATTATGTATGTACTAAATGTCTAGTCCCTTGGAATTAAAGGCCCATCATTCACCAGGCCGCGCTCACCGTCCTCCTTATAGCCCTAAACTTCTCTGTCATTTTCTGAGCTTTCGTTGCAATACGCTTCTTCCGCGCCATCTGTACATCGCAACACAGGATCAAAATATATGTCACATTCTGGCTCACGATGGCCTATATATTCAGATTAAGGACAAACAATGAAGGTTTCATCACTGGCTTTTACCTCTTGTTTCCTCTTCCTCTCAGCTTCAGCCTGTTCCGGATTATTTATTAAAAAAATAGAAAAACTTGTTAAAACGCAATGCAACATTAATTATCATGAATATACTGTAGAAGTTAAAAATCTCTTGTACCAGAATTTCTTTCAGCTGTTCGTTTTCTTGTCTAAGTTGATTCAGACCTGCTTCTAACTCCACCGTATATGCCTACAAGAATCAGACATCATAATGAGAAGGACGCCAGAAGGCCGAAAAAATAAAAAACACTGATCAAGAAAACGAATTTTGCTAATGGAAGAAAATGTCTGTCCTAGTTAAAAGCAGAATTTGTTAGATAGTAATCAGTCTAACAAAGATAACAAGTTATCAAGTCAATAATGCACGAATAGCTGTGACGTGATGCTTGAATTCTAATTTTGGTATCTAAGAAGAGTCTACTCAACTAAACTCAAGAACTTTCTATCCCCCCATTTCTCTCTCTCTCACGCAACCCCACCCCAACCCCCTCCCCCTTCCCCTCCCCCACAAAAAACAAAAAAACCCCCACGCCCGCGCGCGCAAAGAGTAGATTAGGATGAGCACAAAACCTGTCTTCTTGCTCGTGAACGTGCTGCTGATTCTCGATTCTTCAACATCCTCCGCTGCCTTCTCTCCACTACCACTTCAGGAGGGCCATCAATTATCCTCTTCTTGCTACTATTCCTGGTTGGCTCTCCCGAGGTTTGACATTTCTCAGCAGCACTGCTAGTAGCGGGTTCTTTTGCTGCTAGGCTATGACTCTGGGACAACACTCGGTACGTTGATGCTCCATCTCCTGACAAACAGACTCCGACATTTTGTTGGGTAGAAAATCCCATCCTCGTTGCGGGCCCCATTTTATAAGAAGCATCAAATGGTCTATTATTTGTTATATTTCCAGTTTGGTTCTGAAATGGCAACGATGATGATGATTGTTGAGGCCAAGAAAATTTCAAGGGTAATGAAGGTAAAGGTGATTCTTGTACTATCCCAGCTTTTATCAGGAAATCCTCCAGAGTCATTTCCCCAAGTGTTTGTTGCCTTCTGAGGCTCTTACTAGCGCTAATTTCGTCATTAGTAGCTTCTGCATTTTGCTGTGATCGGTGATCTTTGCGGATCTCAGACCAAACCTCATCCACAGTTTTCTTGCAAATCGGAGGAGGAACAGACAGTGAGGCCTGTTGGGAGATAACGGTTTCTGTTTCTGCACCTGCGTTTTTGTTTTGAACTGGCAACTCGTCACGGGTGGGCGGTGGTGGTGGTGGTGGTGGTGAATCGATCTGGTTATCGTCGGAATTCCATATGTTGGCCAGGAATTCGTCCATGCTCATTGACCCAACCATCCTTACGCTCTTGCTTTGGATTTCGTCAAGGGTAAGAGAGGGTATTGAATTTTGATGACTGGTCGGTGAATAAATTGAGGTTTCTTTCGACGGCAATTCTTGCTGCAATTGCGGAAGAGGCAGGGATAGAGACGAAGGCGCCAACTGTTGGGAATGGTTCTTGTCGGACGCAACCGTTTCCGTCTCGGAAACTAGCATTGTTGATTATGAAGCACAAATTGAACTTCGGCAACTGGAGATCAATTCTCAGTTTCTATCAAATTGCATCAACAACGCAATTAGAAGCCATTCTAACGGAAATTGTATGTAATTGATTGGGGAAAAAAACGAAATCATTATTGACAGTATGACAGAGAATTATAATCACTGATCTGGTAAGCTGATGCAATTGGAGTTAGCAGGAAAGTAACTAGGATAGTTGCATGTCACATGCATCCATGTATATGAATAGGATCGGCATGGAAAATTCAGAAAAATGGAAGAAAGAAAAGTAAAATGGTGGAAGAGATTAAGATTAAATATGTAGAAAGAGATTTGAATCGTCATCCGATCGATGATGAAAGAAGAAGAAATTAAAGCCAGACAAAAATACCTGAAATTGAACGGCGAGAGAATCTGAATGCGAGAAGGACGAAACTAGAAAGGTATTAGAAGAGAGGGGGGGGGGGGGGAGAAAGATACAATGCACTGTGACTTTAACTGCCATCGGCACCATCTTAAATAAAAGTTTTGTTTGGAGGTGAGGGAGGTTTATGATGGGAATCGCGTTTTTTCCCATTTTAGTCTTTTTCAGGAAATGATTTTCCCTCTTCCACATTTTGCCCTTCCATTTGTTAAATATTTCAAGTAGTCCTCCAATTCTATCCTTGGGTTGAGTTTTCAATTATTCGAAAATTTGACCCCGTGTTTGATAATTTCTTGGCTTGAAAGCTACAACTTCAATTCGAATTGAAGTGTTGAGATAAACAAGTCGAGGACAGATTAAAGTCAAAGCAGTTGAAAATACAAAAGAGTTTACTTTCCCCCGTAAAAAAATACAAAATATTTTTAATTAAATTTTATTTTAATAAAATAATTATTTATCTTTAAAGTAATTTTATATTTTTATATTCTATTTATATTTATACTTTAAAAAAATATAAAATAATCTATTCAATAGGAATAATTTTTTAAAAAATATAATAATTATATTTTAAAAAATTAAAACTGTCTTACATTTTTTTAAAATTTAATTTTAAACTTAAAAAATATTTTATATTTTTTAAAAGAAAGAGTATATGCTAACAAAAATTTAGTTGAGTTGATAAAAATTTAGTATATAAGATTAAATTTTATTATTAATATAAGAACTTTATTAATGAATAATTTATAAATTTTTTTAAATCTGAAGATATATCTTATAAAACTTTTATCTTTTAGAGAAATGCCTAAGAGTCCATATTTGAATTAAGAGACGGACTTGTGATTTTAAATTTGAATGAAATAGAAGAACTAAAAACATGTGCAAGGGCATGTTTTATGGACACGTGGAGGGGCAGAGAGCGAACCTGAGACGCCAGTACCTTTGATGTAAGTGTTAGCCAGCGCAGTGGGTACTAACCACCCAATACTCGTTTTCACAGACGCAAGCAGTGAAAAAGCAAAACGCCCTCCTCATTTTAACTTTTTTTATTAAGAGAAAATTACTGTGCCAGTTTTTGTAATTTTTTAAATGTAAATTAGGTCTTTATAATTTATTTTATTTTAATTAAGTTATTGTGGTTTGATTCATTAAATATGTTTAACTTTAAAATTTTAAATTAATAATAAATTATTAACTTTCTAAAAAAAGTATCCTTTGAAGCTTTAAAAAAATATAAGTTAAATAGTTTCCTACATTTTTATTTTTCGATATTTTATATTTTTTCATTTTGTTTGTAAAGAAATTTAAAATATTAAAAAAAACTGTAGGAACTTAAAATATTAAAAAAAATATAAAAATTTGTAATAAAATATGAATAAAATATAATAATTTAAAATTATATTTTTTTCTATAATTTTCTTTTTTTATTACATACAATTCTCCTGTTATTAAAAGTAATTTTGTTTGGGAAACTTTTTACCTCACTTAGATTATAATTTCAACCGCAGAACCTATTCTCTGAGTATATTGCTGCAAAAGTCTCAATGCACGTTTGTTGATGTATTGTTGGAATTGATTCCATGGAGAATGATAATTGAAGACCTTGTCAGGAAATTAATACAAAATAAAGATCTTTGAGTTGCAAATTATAATGTTTCGATTGTAAATTATTGATATTTTAATTATAAAAAGTCTTTGATATTTTTTAAGAGTTCTTATTTGTCATTCTCCCTTGATTATTCTCTGTGAGAAAGGGATAAGTAGAGCATCTTGTAGAGCAAGACTTGTAATATCAATATCCATTGAATGTAACAAGAAACTTGAATTGTACGTCCCTTACTTATTTCTCAATAAAATAATTATTTATTTATGAACCAACATAATTTTTTATATTTATTTATATTTAATAAGGTATTTCACTATAAAATAAATATAAAGTAATTTATTCATTATGATACTGTTGGAAAAAAAATATAATAATTACACCTTAAAATATTAAAAACACTTTACATTTTTAAATATTTAATCCTTCAAAAAATGCCTTACATTTTTAACAGAGAGAGTAGCATATTTGCCCCTGACGTTAAATATGCTAATGTTGACCTTTAAAAATACTAATTGGGACTTAAGTCTGATCGAAAATGACATATGTCGTATTAGGTGAATTTTAGTTAAGGTGCATTTTTACCTTTAAACTATTATCCAATGAGCACCTAATATTCTAAATTATTTATTGTAATAATTTTGCCCTTAAAATAACAAAAAAGTAGTGTATTTCTAAATATCTATAAATAATTTAGGCAAACTCCTTTTCTACCTTTCTTCTTTAAATTTAATTAAAATAAAAATAAGTTTGGCCTGTCCAAACTAGGGCCATGCAAAAGTCTCTCGGTCCTGTTCAACCCAGTTTGACTTGAGAAAGTCCAGTTTTGTTAAAAACTGATCCTTTAGAACTAAAAAGATTAGACTATTTCTTCAGGCTAGATTGAACAGGGAACTGAGCATCTGGACCACTTGGTCCAAGTCTTATTAAATTTTCAATACGATTATAATTAATTTACTAATTATTTATAATAATAAGTTAAGACTATTAATAATTTAATAAATTTAGTTCCTCACACGATTGTACGTTTAAACTAATAATTTAATAATTTTGACCACTTGAACTATAATTGAAATATTTTTTCTTGTTGTTGAAAATTATATATTATGAATTTATTATAATTATAAGTATTTTTATTATCTTAATTAAATTTATTAGGTTAAAATAGATTATTGCCTCTCATAGAGAAAAAAAACTAAGTGAATACTGAACTAACAGGACTAGTCTCCCAGTCCTATGGACCAAGTTTAGTTTTGTTAATTTTTGAGTTATCACGAGACCATACCGGATTACAGGTTGTCTAACCTAATTTTTTTATGAAAGAGATCAAACTTTGGGTTAAGCCAAAGTCCAATCCCATCCAGTTCTTTATGCAGCCTTAATCCAAATTGTAAGCTTTAAATTAGGGAGGGAGGATAACATTTTAACCATGAGAAAAGTTGTGAACTAACAATAGGGGAATGGATAGGTGGGGCTAATTGATAGTAGAATATATAAACAAGCAATAATTAAAAACGATGGAACATTGAGAGAAGAATAATTCAAGAGCAAAAATGTACATCAATCCAAATTCACTTGACATAAAAGATGGTATTTTTCAGTCAAACTTAAATTTCAGTTAGCATTTTTAATGGTTAATGTTTGAGTATTTAACATCATGGGCAAATATATTATGTTTTAATCAGTTTAGAAGTGAAATTGTCACGGCAAATAGGCTAGAGGAGAATAGTTCAAACATAAAAATACACTTTAACTCTAATTTTAACTTTTATCTAGAAAATTAAAAAAAGAAAAATCATTTTAATAATATCTCAAGAATCTCATGGGGTGATGGAAACTATCAAGTACTAACTAATGCAGTATGGAATGATTGGAATAGGGATTTAAATAACAACTAAAAAATATTATCCCTGTAAAAATCGTTATTTTTTCTTTTGATTTTCAGCTAAGCTGAAAAAAGAGAAGGACCCAGAGGAGGGGAACTTACCCCTGTAGATTCCAAATTCCCAATATGTTGTTAATGTACGACTCACCTCCGCCTCCTCCTCCTCACTTTCCCTTACTTAATTTGATGAAGTATTCTCTACCTGGCTTTTTTTTTTTCTTTCTTTTTTTTTTAAAAAAAACCTCGCTCGTCCACCTGGCTGACAACTATTGTAGGTGTTTAAATCTGACCTAACAAATGAAGGAAGAGTTAGCTATGATATCGGTTTCATTAAATTGCTGTCAATATTAAACATTTGCGATCATTTTTTATTTTGCATGTCAAGATAGGGAAGGTAAAGCACATGTGTAATGGATTTTCTGTTTTTAAATTAAAAAAGTAGGAGGGTCAAACCAATCAATATAGACATATTAAAAATATCAATATAACACATGATAATCAAGCACTGCTATCTAAAATGGTTAATAGCGTGTCTCACTTTAAAATGTAATGCACAAAATATATTTTAAATCCTGATAAAAGATATATATTAAAGGAAAAAAGAAAAGTGGATTTTTTTAAAAAAATTTATCTATAAGGTTAGAATTTTTAACATTATTTAAAGAGACTGAACTCACCTTTTTTGGGCCAACCAATTTATTTAATCCAACTTTGTACGTTTTCACTAGCATTTTTTTTTATATAAAATTACTTGCATATTTAAGTTTAAAACACTGCGATCCAACCATTGCATAACTTCCAAGAATTTCCAATACCCACTTGAACAAAATACCAAAAGGATGAATGGATGTTTTTTTTTTTTTTGTCAATCCTTCAATTATAACTCTTTCTCTTTTTTATTTCATCACATGTTATCCTAAAAAATTTAAAAGTATTATCACATCCCGTCCAATTAATCTAAACCCACATTTTGTAGGACTGTCAGTCTCATGGTTATTTCAAAAAAACTTTTAACATAATTATTTTACATGATTTCATATTTTAAAATTTGAACTTGAGAACTCAAGATAAGTAATTCAACTTCCTTAATCAGTTAATCCAAGTATCACTTAGTTCAACTATATCTCTTTATTGCATAAGTATAGTGCTATAAAAAAAGAGATGGATACACAGTAATAGGATGGATGGGTGTGACCCTTCAGCACTATGTCACTGCAACAAAATGTGTGGTCCAATTTGTTCCTTCCATTGACCGACCCGAAAAATAAGGATATAAATGATGCTCATTGATCAGAGAATTTAGAATTAAAAGAAGTCCGTGGTCTTCTATAATTTTCAAAACTATGACCATCTAATCATTAAATTTTTGTAACTTACATAGAAAAAGTGCTTAGATAAATTGAAAATATTTTAATTAAATAGATTACAAATAATGTGGTGAACGTAACTTAAAAACTTTTTTTGATGGAGAAGTTGAACACATTTTTAAGAAACAAAAATTTAAGGTTTTTAAAGATCTAACAGCTCAAGTAGGAAGAAAATCACTGTAATCATTCCATAAAAATTCTCCTTTTATAATATTCTATGCGATTCTATTCAATATTAGGAAAATAAATACCTGATTGTTGATTCTTTTCAAAGGACGTCTATTTTACAGCATCAAAGAAAGATAGATTAGCACTTAAATTCTCCAATTCTGCCCATCCAATCATTAAAGCTGGTCCCAAGGGGCCAAGATCGTTGAATGGAATCAAGATCGATTGGGGCACTGGAACTTCATTTATTGTAATTGTATCAGTCAAACGGAACTCAGTCAAATCTACCCCCTTGCCACGTATTCATGCTCTCTTCACAACTATACATCGAAATTACCAATGATCTTTGCAAGAACAATAACCATTTTCAAACCGATGAAAACGGTTTTGGTCTCTGACAATAATTCTGCGGTTGTATATTTTGGAAACCAGCCTCATGAACGAGTGACAGTCACAGCAAATCCTCAAGTTCTTCACTATATGAATGGGAATCCCATGGGACGTAGTCAGCAGTCCAAAAGCAAGAGCCATCTTCTCACTGTGAAGTGCTAAATGGCATTCCTTTTCATTATCTCCAAGATCCAGAAGAACTTGATTAAAGTCAGGCTCATACCCTTCCAATTTCAACTTGGAGATCACTTCCTCTATCATGGAGAGAATGTTTTGGTTGTTCTCCACATCTATTGCTTTGCCAATTAGGAATTGATGAACTTTACCACCCACAAAAATGGAGCTGCACCCAGGAATTTTTCTTACTCCTCTCTTTTTCATCACTGTTCTAACTCTAGCCACGTCATCCCACCATCCCAATTTGGCATACAGATTTGAGAGGAGAACATAACAACTTGAATCCTCTGGAGCCAAATCCATAGCTCGCAATGCAGCGATTTGACCTATTTTGAAGTTGTTATGTTTAATGCTGGCACTCAGAATGGCCTTCCAGATTAAAACATCAGGCTCCATAGGCATATCATATATGATCTCAAGTGATTCTTCTAAATGACCTGATCTACCAAGAAGGTCAACAATACATCCATAGTGCTGAATCTTCGGAATGATCTTGTATTTCGCCTGCATGGTTTCAAAATAGGATAGACCCTCATTCATTAAGCCTCCATGGTTGCAAGCACTTAGGAGTCCCAAGAAAGTGATATCGTCGGGCTCAAGCGCTGCCCTTTCCATATCCAAGAAAAGCTTGATGGCTTCATGACCAAGCCCGTGGATAGCAAACCCAGAGATCATGGAATTCCAATCCCCAATGTTCCTTTGATGAGATATGCTGCTAAATACATGGTAGGCATGTTCGATTTGGCCGCATTTGGAATACATGTTTATGAGAGCTGATCCAATAAACCTAGAACAACGTTCTATCTTATTGGCAGATATGTAAGTATGTATCCATTTGCCTTCCTCAACAAAACCCAGATCAGCAATGGCTGAAAGGACACTGATAATAGCAGGGGCATCAGGTCGAATTCCTTCACTCAACATTTCTCTGAATAAATATAAGGCTTTCTTAGGGCATTGATTAAGAACATGAGCTGAAATCATTGTTGTCCAAGTCACCAAATCCTTAACCTTCATTGTCGTAAAAATATCCTCAGCAAGTTTATACATTCCTTGCTTTGCATACCCATCAATCATAGCGTTACATGAAACCAGGTCCCTTTCGGGCATTCTCTCAAATAGTTCACGTGCAAACTCAATCTCGCCCGCCCTCAAATAACCCGTGATCAAGGAATTCCAAGAAATCAAGTCTCTCACAGGCATTCTATCAAACACCGATCTTGCAAGTTCGGTCTCACCGAGCTCCAACCACATACGCACCAAAGAATTCGCCACAAACGGGTCAAGCCATAGATGGATCTTCAATACGTGACCGAAAATTTGGTTGCCTTCCCTGAACGCAGAGGATCTGCCACAAGCTCTGAGTACAGAGGGAACAGAGAACTCGATTCCTCGCAAATCTTCTAAGCAAAAGAGCATGAGGGAATAAAGCATTACAGCCTGAAAAGGATTTGAACTTTCAGAGAAGCCCTTGATGAGAGGGCGAAAGAAGAGGGATGAAGTGGGGTTTTGAATTCGAAGAAGAATGGACAAGGCGTAATCGAGTTCACCAGTGTGAGAGCAAGCAGATATGAGCTTAGAGACGGAGAATGTGTCACTGACGAGGTTTGTTTTGATCATGTAGGAATGAATTTGACGCACTTGATACGGAGCTCTGCATTTGTCTAACAGGACGGCCGTGGGGTTTCCGGGAACAGAAACACTGGTTGATGCGCTTATCATGGCTGCAAATTCTCCCGCGGGAATCCTAACGGGAGGGTTACTTCCCTTTTTATTGGAATTTGGAAATCACATCTGTTCCAATCGTCCAAAAAATAAAGCCTCTCTTTTTTCAAAAGTTTGTCCCTGTTGAAGGTTCTTCCTTTTCTTCCGGCCTTGTAAATTTTTATATAATAAAAAGTAATAAAACACAAAATGGGCCGTCTTGACCCATTGCTAAGTATCCAATTCACAGACAGTTTGTAATTTCGCATACAGGGACGCCATCTGCTACTTAATGTTTTAGGCTTCTTTTGGTGGCAGGCTAGCAGCTAGAGCCAATAATTTAAGTAAAGTCAATTTAAAAAAATTTAAAGTCAACCTTAAAAAATATAATTTTTTATATATTCAGGTCTAGCCTAAATAGGTTAAAAAAAATCAGAGCCAAGTCTGATAAGGTTCAGGCTTAACCCAAATACTCAAATAAAAAAATTTTTATTTTTACAAAATACATATAATATAATAAATATTAATTAATTTTTTAAGTTTTATATCATTTTATACTACACATATTTGAATCCTATACATTGTTTAAGTATCAAAAAAATATATTTTATATTTTTTATAAAATAAAATAATTATTATAAAGTAAAAAAATTTAATTAAAAAAATTTTAAAAATAAAATTTGGATATTTGAGTCTCTCGAAACCCGAAAGAATTTAGGTCTAGTTTAGCCATTCGAGCTTTTTAGGAAGTCAGGCCTATTCAAATTTAGGCTTATTCGAGTTTAGCCCGCTCAAATTTTCAACTCTACTAGTAGCAGTGCAGCACAACCATCCCATTCAAAAAAAAATTAAAATTAAAAAAATCATTTCCTATTACATGAAAATTAAGATGTGTAACAATATCTCTATAATCAGAATTCAACAAAAACTAATTGTTATTTTATAATATAAATTTTTATCTATATTAACTAAACATAAACAATGGGCTAATTTCAACAATAAGTTCTCATTTCATCATTCACCACATATAAACATAAAGGGAGGGGTTGATTAAGGAACAGAAATCAATGTTGAGACTGCAAGGTTATTCCTGAGCTAACAAATGAGCAAGTCTGTCAGCTTCCTGATACACAAAGTTAAGAGAAATATGCCAATCTCTCCTAAGGTATAATCTAGATAGCAACATCAATGTAAGGGTGATGGTTATCATTACAAATTTTAGCTAGTGATAATTCCAATGGTTCTGCCAAAGAAAGCTATTTTCCAAACATTTCATTTTAGTTGCATTGTAGTGTAATATATTGGTTTAGACTAATCTAAACATGGATCCAAGCCAGCTAAAGGAAACTATTTTCTAAACGTCTTAATAAACCTAGACATGCTCAAAATTTGTTCTCGTCGTTATCCAATCATGAGCACCAAAGAGAGTGTACTGTTGCAATTTCATTGTGCTAAATAGAAGCATGCCTCGTCATGAGACATGAGCCGTACTTCCAGCCCAAAATGACATGACTATTTTCTTGCATCAGAATAATGCCTTCACAATTAATTAATTCTAACAATACCACAGAAGTTACTTTCCGCTGTATTAATGCGAACTAAAGGAAATTAGAGCATCTAGCTTGGTTCTTCCCTGGAAAATGAATTTATATATATTTTTAATTTTAAGGAGTAAATTATTACAGCACAGACATGTTTATGAGACGTGGTACATGCTGAGACTATGATAATGCAAGATTAATGAAGGACAATAATTCACGATTTGACGTATACTACCGTTGAAGTTCAGACACAAGCATGCAATTGAGAAGACTGGCTTTAGATTACCCTCATAATCGGGGACTCAGTTTTGGTGCTCAGCACCTAAACACTGCTGTTTGGCAGTGTTTTTTTTTTTTCTTTCACTTTTTTTAAACCACAAATTTATTATAATAATAAATAATTATTATAAAATTATTATTTTAATATTTAATAAATTAATAAATATTAAAATGTTAAAATTCAACCTGAATAGTTTAAATAAAAATTTTGGTTTAAACATTAAAAATTATATTAAAAAAATAAAAAATGATCTGAACAATTTAAAATAGAAGTCGAGTCTGGCAAAATGAGCCAATTTCTTACACTGTAGTAAATTAATATTTGAATTTCTATTAAGAAAAGTACCTATATTTAATATCTGATTATGCTTTGAATGATATCATCTCTCATAGATAAACAATTGTGCAAAATTAATAAAATAAAAAAATATTTATATTTACAATTTTAATTTTTCAATACAATTCTAAACTGTTTAGATCAAAATTTATATAGAAACTGTTCAAGTTAAATTTTAATGAGTTAATCTGTTCATATTTAATTTTAACATCTTAATATTTATTTGTTTATTAAATATTAAAATAATAATTTTATAATATTTATATATTATTGTTATTATAAATTTGTGGTTTAAAAAAACAAAAAAAAACTGCCAAACGGCAGTGTTTTGGTGTTGAGCACCATGGTGCTCATCTTAGGATGAGCACTGAAACCGATTCCCATAATCAGTGGGTGAGGAAGGTTCTAGCTGCACCCACAGCTAGAAATTTTACCTTTTTATACCCTTACGCCCTATCTAGTATGTGGGCCTTAATTTAAAATGATTGATATTGAGATTGTAATTGGTATTGAGAGCGAAAGTGGAAGTGGTAGTAAAAATAAGACTTTAAAATTATATTTAATATAAGGTAATATTTATAGAAAATACTTATTTTTATTTTATTTTACAATTAAACATGAATAATGAAAATGCTATAATACACTTTAAAATAAAAAATTGTAACTGATCACTCTTCTTCACTTTCACCTTCTCCAACAAGCAACCATGGTAGAATAGAAGTTCATCTTCCTTGACCACACTCCATGCTACACCACCCCCTTACTACAAGATCCAGAAGTCAGTAGTTGTGAGATTGGAGAAGGAGAAGGTGAAGGCATTTGTGAAACCTAGAGGCCAGTGGCTGCAAGATCGAAGGAGGAGAAGGCGGCAGCATTTGCGAGAACCAGAGGCCAGTGGCTGTGAGATTGAAGAAGAAGGAGAACGCATTAATGACAAAGGTGGAAACGAAGTTGTGAGATCAGACATGTGCCATGGATCTGAGCAAACTAAAGAAGAAGATGAAGTATTTGAGCAAACATAGCAATAGAGATCGTTCTATGACTTGGAACCAGATCTGAAATCTCTCAAATTAATACTACCATAAAAAATACCCATATTTAACGCTTATTTTTCACAATACTTAACTGTTTTTAACCGTTAAGTAAATGTGCGACATATATTAAAGAAATAATACTTGACGATTAAAAATCATCAAGTATTAATCTAATACTTGATGGTTATTTAAAAAAAACTGTCAAGTATATAAACTAAATATGCACTTTTCTTGAAAAAATACTTGACACTTGTTTTGAAACAAGCGTCAACTTTATTGATACTTAACGATTTTTTTGAAATAATCAGCAAGTATTTATGGTATAATTTTTTTAAATATGGTGGCTGCTTTTAAAGCAGCCCTCTTGCATAAAGATACAGATAAAGATGAAAAACAGCTAGCCAGCAACAAAAATTATGCAATATAATGAATGTTTCTAATAATATCTCCTATCTAATTAATATAAAAATTCCTATACATTTAACTTTAAAAGCTAAAAATTCTATGCTCAACTTATTTACAAACTAATGTTCCAAAACTAAGTGGCCTATCCTATAAAGATTGGCCTAAAAATGTGTATATAAATGTAACTAACTATTTTACCAGCCTAACTACTGTTGCTACCCACATATTGAAAACACATTGGGCCACCTCTTCAAAGACCTCTTCTACATGTATAGCCATATAACAAACACAATAGACGTCCTCAAAGTACTATAAGCAAATAGTCACAACAATTTCAAGTTAATAGATAGCTAATTAAAATTGTTTAAAATTTATAATTGAAGTGTAATTAAATTTTATATACATACCTTCTCAGATAATGTGGGAGAGGCATAAGTGATAATGTCCTTCATGAATTTTATCAAGTAATAACCACAGTCATTGCTTTGATCTGGCTAGAATGGACACTGTAAAAAAAACATATATCAATAAAATTGTAAAATATAATGAGATAGTTTCTTGATTAAAAACTTGACCAATTAAATGAATACCTTAACAGTAATCCATTTCTCTGAAAATTTGAATGCCCTCATCTTAGAGGATATAGTCATGTCGGTCACAATGTGATACAACACCACAGCTCTAAGAAAAAATTATGGAATGAATGTGAGAAATATACATGAATGAAAACTAAAAATAAAAAGAAATAATAAGTAAAAAATCTAACTTACTCATTAAAAAGTACCATCATATCTTCCTTGTTGCTTAGCACTCCATTAAGGGGATCAAGATACCACATTTTTGAAGCAACGAGATTAACCACAATAAGTATCCAGTGTCCCCTAACAAGAAACAACATATGTTATCAAATAAATAAATATAAAAAAATATTTACTCATAACAAGTATTAACAACTCACCCTTGGCAGTACCTCCCCTTTCTTAAAATTGATCCAAAAGCATTCTTGCTTGATTTTCAAGGGCTTCCTTTGTAATATTATTGTGGGAAGAGACATCATGAGGATTAACTAGCTTGATCTTTGACTCAAGGCCACCAGAAACCACGAATGAGGTATAAAGGTGACTTGGGTGAAAAAATATATAAGTTAATATGCTTGCATACTCACACACATAAATAATTTAAGAAATTAACTAATAAATATTGAAGAATTACTTCATGTAAAAATTCATCAAACTAGTGCTCGCCACATCGTGCTTAAGGATTTCATTCAAAATTTCATCCCAAACGACTTCAAATGGTGCTTTACCAAATAACCCATCGTCAAAATTAATGATATCCCTAATCGACACTTGACGAATCATCCTTGTAGCTGAAGCATAAGTCTCAAGAGAGTTACAAAATTTGTTTTCTACAACAGGCATAGGCATTACATGTTGTGAAACCATGGCTGACTCTTTAGTATGGCCCAACACTTTGCCTTTCAATTTGCTTTTTCCCCTTGGCTATACAATGAAAAAGTTAGACATACACACACATACACATTAAAGATTCTAAATAATTATATAAATTAAATATACCTTTTTCTTTGTTTACAAGAGATCCTTTGGCGGCTTTGGGTCCTTTATTGGCTTTAGTGTACCAACCATAACAAGGTGGCTGGGCCATGCAACAAAGCTTCCCAACGCATCTCCTACCATCTGCATCTCATCGGTAGGATAAGGTAATAGATACTTGGGGTCCATTGCAACAAGCAAGAAAACCCTAATGCAATCGGGCGGGGGGGGGGGAAGGTTATGGATTGTGTCCCCACTCCCCAGCAATGTTGTACACGCATCCCGTTGCAACTACTTTGCGTGACGGATCGTCTGCTAAATAGTTGCAGTCATTCTCGCCCTAAATAAATGAACAATGTCAATTGTTTAGACAAAAAATTAGTTAAGCAAATTTAGAAGAGAAAATGTATTACCTCGGGTATTTTGTTTGAAGGGATTATGCAGCTTTCTTTCCCACTAGGGCTAACATCAGCCAAAAGCCTCCCAGCAATTTGCCCCTTCAATAGCATGTCAATTAACTTTGCCAGGGCTTCTAGCTGTTGCTTCATAACAGCTTGCTCTTCTTTCAACTCTTGGACCTCGGATGAAGAAGCTAATGTTCGCTTCTTAATCTTACCAAAGTATTGCTTCTTTGTGACATCAAAGCCGACACCCCTAACACGACCAGGGTCATCAAGGTCCTCAACGCTCTAGCTAAGACATCCTCATGCTCAGAAAGCTTGCCTTTTAAGACTTCTTGAGAGAGGAAATCCTGTGAAAAGTAGAGTTGATTAGTATACATTTTAATAATCATTTATTAATTAATAGATAAGAATAACACTTATAATTTTTTCAGCAACCTCTTTCACACGAGGGTTGTCAATCACTCCATCTTTGTTTGTTTGTGCTAATGCCCAGAGTCTTTGGCAGGATATAGTAACATCTGATCCCTTGGCCTCCACTTCTTTCTGCTCCACGCCTGCATACCCTAACTTCCCTGCTCTGTAAGGGTATTCATTCTTGGCCACTCTCTCCTCATTTTGGGCGCTCAGTTCCTTTAATCAATAACAAAAATATCTTGTTAGTACACATAGATACATTTAATAAAAGGCACTAAAATTTAAATTTTAGAAACATAAATACCTTAAATTTCTTCTTACGTCGAGAGACAACAAAAGCATCCCAATCTTCTTGCTTTACTAAAGGCTGTAATAGGGGAAACTCAGGCTATAAATTCAGCATCAGGGTCTTTCAAATATTTCTGTGTAATAAAATATCTAAAAGACCATAACGCCCTCCCAACCTTTTGAAGGACAAAATCTGTCTTGCTCTCATCTATTTCAAATCCTGACTGTAAAATAAAATAAATATGTTAAGTGCATCAATTTAAAATATTATAATAGAATATAACTTAGTAATATGTAACTTACAAATATGGTCTCCCAAACAATGTCCTTCGTGGCTTAATCAACTTTACACCATGATTTCTGTGTGATAGGTACAGTTGTCTTTGCCACAATCCCAATATAACTTATAAACTTTGTAGATTTAATAACTTGGCCTTTCTTGTTCTATTGTACTGCTATTTTTTCCCTGTAGCTCTTGTTTTTGTAACTTCTTCCATTATTGTCAGGCCTTGCTGGATATTGTTATATTCCTGCTTCAATTTTTTTTATGACGACGGAGCATAAATAGAAGTTGTAGCAAATCTGATGGAGGGATTTCAGTGGACTCAGAATCTGAAGCCATTTATCTATAACACAATAAAATTTCAAAATTAATCAACCATGATTAATTCAAAAAATTAATCAACCATAATTAATTCAAATATAATTGACTATATTAATTCAAACATGAAATAAAAATGACGTAATTAATTTAAATATTAATCAATTATACTAATTCAAACATGAAAAAAATGGCATAATTAATTTAAAGGTTACATGTTCAAGTTGTTCTTTTTCGTTTCCTTGACTTTGGTTTTTTACTTGCCCCTTCTTGAAATATTTTCTTCTTGTGCTGAAATAATTTACCCCTTTTTAAAATTCAAATGCCTTCATTGTGATCATTTCTCATGTATAAAGCTTCATTAGCAGTGTTGTTACTTTGATTTGATGTCCCTTCAAGTGTGTCATCTTTAATTGCTACATTTTCATTTATTTTTTCATGCAACATAAGAATAGACCACCCTTTATCAGCAAGGTTAAGGACATAATACACTTATTTGGCTTGTTGCGCTAAAATAAAAGGCTCATCCTTATATCCTTCCTTATTCAAATTGACTTGTATAAATCCAAAGTAATAATCAAATTTCAAGCCATTCTTTCGATCAATCCACTTGCACCCAAAGATTGGAATTTGAAAGGATATGTAATCTAAATCTCATATATACTTAATTACATCAAAGTATGACATGTTTGCATAGATAAGATTTTTATCCTTAGTGCTGGAAATATGCATGGAATAAACTATAAGAGTTACACCATTATTTTACATTGTGCTCCTATCATCTTACTCCTTTGTATAAAATGTGTATCCGTTGAAAAGGTAAGTAGTGTAAGAAATGGCCTGTTTGCTTGGACCAGTAGCTAACCATCTCAATTTTTTAAAAACTGAATTGGAATCAACATTTAACATTTAAAGGATGTGCTCTTTAAACCATTTTGTAGAAGTTTTATTGTGTTCCCTAACATACTAAATTTCTGATTTATTGAGATTATCCCTCTTAAATTTAGCCATATGCTTGTCTACATACTCTTCAACCTCTTCAGTGTTGTGCAACGCATATAGGTGGACTCGCTTCCATTGTACTCGTGACATAGTAATGAATTTATTTCCCATGATCCCCTCTCCACCTATTCTACCCATATGTCGAGACTTTAGAAGCCCAACATAGCTAATATGACTCAGGTGCTAGGTACAAAAATCAATAGCCTCTTCACAAATATACCGTTCAATAATACAACCCTCCGGTTGACTTCAATTTTTCACATAACCTTTTAAAATTTTCATATAACGCTTAATAGGATATGTAACATCCCAATTTAAATTTAATAGTTAATTTGGGTTAATAACAATTTTGAAAAGTATTATTAAATTATTATTATAAAAAAAGGTATGAAAAAAAAAATAAAAAAAAATAAAAATAAAAAAAAAATAAAATAATAATAATAATAAATAAAAAATAAAATATTATTAAATTATTATTATTATAATAATAAAAAGAAAGAAAGGAAAAGAAAGGAAGAAGAAGAAGAAAGCGAATTTGCTTCGTCCGCCGCCTCAACAGTAACAATAATAAAATAATAATAAAAAGAAAAGAAGAAGAAGAGAGAGAAAATAATTAAAAAAAAATGTGGGACCCACTGAATTTTTATAAAAACTCACCTGTTCCTTCATTTCTTCATTCCTTCTTTCGTGCGTGAGCTTCGGCAGAGAGAGCATCTGTGAGCCAAATTCACCGGTGCAGGGTTTTAAGGTAAGAGTTTTTAATAGGATATTTAGGATGTGATTTTAAGCTTTTCAAGACTAAGTAAGTGTTCTAAAAATTTTTTCTTAGTCATCCTTTTTCTTTTGTTTCTGAGTTTGTAGTGGTAGAAAATTTAAGATCTGGAAGAGGGATGAATTTATGTTGAATAAATATGGTTTTTGAGGTTGTTAGTAGTATAATAAATATTCTAGAGTATAAATTTATTGGTGATCTTTGAATTTGTGGCTTATGGATCAAATTCTAGACTAGATCTGAAAATATATGTTGATTTATTGAGGTTTAGATGATTATTTGGGATGAGAAATGAATTATTATGGCTATAGGATTATGATTCTAAGCTAGAGACTTAATTTTTAATTTTTGAGTATTTTAGGTACGAATTTATGAAATAAAAAGAAAATTTTGATAATAGAAATTAGTTTAGAAGTTGATTTTTAGATTATTAATGTTTATTGATAATTAAAAGAGGAGTAAAAATTATACTTAATAGTATTAACTATAGATTTGTATTAAGATTGAGATTAGGAATTATGTTATATTTTTAATTCTATTATTAGAATTATTTTATTAGTTTCAAAAATTGAAACTAATATTTATAAATAATATGTTATTTGTAGATTGTATTACTGGTGAAGATTGTGGTGAGAGAGAAATTTTAAGGAATAATTTATTGAAAAAGCCACAAGGTAACCATGCTTTTAATTTATGATTAGTGTTACTTCATGTTAATTGGGTGATTATTGAGAAAATTATGAATTTTGTAATATTGTATAATTGTACAATATTATTATGAATTTGTTTATTTATTGTGGGAGGTGTTGGGAGACTTGCTATTATTGTTGTAATTATGTGCCACGTGGTACGCCCCTATTGGAGCTCAATAGGTGGTTTGTAAGGACTCGGGCTAATCTACCTTTGGCCGGGTAATTTAGTACCGAGTGAGGGCTACGGCTCGAGGTTAATGGAGGGATATAAGGATGGTTGTTTGTGTTTATTATAATATTCCTTATATTTGTTGGAATTATATTATTTTTAATTCTCACTTAGTAAGCACACACTTAACTGTTTGTATACACTATCATAAATTGGCTTTGGTTACTGGGACTTTTGAGTCTCATTATGTGGTTAACAATTTTCAGGAGAAGAGCCACGAGTGACACGTGGAGGAGTCCCAGAGGCTTAGTGGTATAGATCCACTGTCTCTTTTGGGTATTTAATTTATGATTTATAATGTATTATATTGCCAATATTAGGGCTTTTTGTTTATTGTCAATTATATGAATATATAAATGTAATCATGCCTTTCAAACTATTTCTATTTTTAGTACAATTTGGATGATTGTAATTTTAATATTTGGTTTACTTTGAATTGATTAAAATGGCATGATTATAAGGCCAAATAACTGGCTTGTGTTGAAAATTTATTAAATTGCTTATTTTACTTGTTGGGAGTATAAGGATGGACAAATGTGATTTAGCCTAATGGCATGTGGGAGGTAAAAATTTATCTGAAATGTTAATTATAAAATATTTTATATTGAAATTATTGATATAAAAATGTGTTGGGTGGCTGTAACCCAACTATGGTTGAGTTAAATTATTTTAAAAAAAAATTTTGGTTGTGTGTGTTACAAATTTTTGGTATCAGAGCTACATGTTTCAAATTCTTATAAATTATGAAATTGTTATCATTAACCTAGTTATTGGCAATATACTTATTCATAATACTTCTCCCTTTTTTTTCTTGTCTTGAGATTAGTGTTAACTTAATTATGTGACTTCCATCCTTTAGGAGGGGAGAGATGGTGTCTAAACTAGGAGAGGTGGCGAAATTGTCGGTGATTCTATAGAGCCAATAGGAAATGACATACCTTCACTGCCACAACCGGAGCCCACACAGCAACAAATGGGCAGGGCGAGCCCATACAGTCACAACTAAGGCAGGATGAGCCAACCATGAGGCAAATGATGGATCTACTATATAATCTTAGTGACCGCATGAAGAGACAAGAAGAAGAGTTGGCCGCTTTAAGACAATATAAGGAGAATGACAACCGAGAGGGAAATGGCCAACAAGAAGGAAGCCATACCAAGGTATTCAATGCGAGCCAATCTGCTGATGAAGGCTTACCTCCTTATTCTCACCATGAGACTAGTCCGAAGAATGTGAGTCTCCACTCTGAGCAACAGACATCCACGATCACAAAGATCTGGAGTACTTTTCGTAAGTTTAATCCTCCTACTTTCGATGGAAATCTTAAGCCGGCGGTGGTTGAAGAATGGATAGATCAATTGGAGAGTATTTTTCGTATGGTTGTGTGCACTTCTAATCAAAAGGTGCAGCTGGCAATATTCTTACTACAGAAGAGTGCTAAGAAATGGTGGGAAACATCAGGACGAAGGATGATTCCTCTCTTACTTGGGAAGATTTTAAAGCCATATTGTTCGAGAATTATTTTCCTACTGCACTGAGAGCAGAAAAGGAGGCTGAGTTTCATGCATTTCGTCAGGGTGATCTAGATGAGGATGAATTTATTGAACAATTCTCAGAATTATCTAAATACTCTACTTACCTCCAGAAACATGAAGACACGGAGTGGATGGCTGAACGATTACTAGAGAAGGCGAGGCCTGATCTAAGGGAACAGTTAGCCCCTTTTGAGATCAAGACATTCAGTGAGATGTGCAATAAGCTTAATAGTTTCTCGGAGGAAGAGAGAGGCTAGATTAGAAGCTGATAGAGAGAGGAGGAAAGAACCTCATGGGAAAGCCCCCTATCCACACCAAACCCATTGGTGGAGTAGAGAAGAGGAGCAGTCAAATCTTTGGAGGCTTTAGAAATCAGAAGAAGAAGGGCTACTATCATAAGGGCCAGACCTACAGAGGGAATCAGAGTGGAAGTCAAGGGTCCTATAGGAGCCCAGCTACCTTTAATCCTACTCCTAGTGCTGCTAGTAATCAAGCATGCAGTAAGTGTGGGAAGTTTCATTCTGGTGATTGTTGGGTTTGTTACATCTGCCAGAAGCCTGGTCATATTGCCCGATTCTGCTATCAAAATTAGAAAATAGGGGTAATGATCAGAGACCTACAGTACCAGCACGAGTGTATGCCCTCTCTGGGCCAGAGGCTGCTAACAACCCTAATGCTATCCGAGGTATAATCCGAATCCTTGATAATGATGTTTGTGCTTTGTTTGATTCGGGTGCTACACACTCTTTTGTGTCTGATGAATGTATGAAAAGATGTAAATTGCCTGTGTGTACCTTACCTTTTGATGTGAAGATTTCTACTCCTGCTGGTTTGACTGTAAGGACTGCTAAGGCATGTCTAAATGTAGAGGTTGAGTATGAGGGTCGAAAGACCACCATAGACCTCATTTGTTTGTCTTTGTCTGGGATTGATGTTATTGTGGGGATGGATTGGTTGTCTGCAAATGGAGCTGTACTTAATGTCAGAAAAAGAGTGTGTCACTCTCAGTTCTTACTGTAACCCCTGTAGAGTCCCAAAGTCCTATGTTGTTGTCTGCAGCTCAAGTAGAACAGTGTATAAGAAAGGGCTGTCAAGCTTTTATGATTTTCTTCTCAATCAAGGCAGAGATTGAAGAAGGTGTAGATCAGATTCCAGTAGTGAGAGAATTCCCTGACGTCTTTCCTACTGAAGTGATCGGTTTGCCTCCAGAACGAGAGGTTGAGTTCTCGATTGAACTCGTACCTGGTACGGGGCCTATTTCTAAGGCACCCTATAGGATGTCTCCATCGGAGTTAGCTGAGTTGAAGAGACAAATTGAAGAGTTGTTAGAGAAGGGGTTTATCAGACCGAGTGTATCACCATGGGGGTCACCGGTACTGTTTGTGAAAAAGAAAGATGGAAGCCTTAGATTGTGTATTGATTATAGACAATTGAATAAGGTAACCATCAAGAATAAGTACCCCTTACCTCGAATTGATGATTTGTTAGACCAATTAGTCAATTCAGCGGTGTTTTCTAAGATTGATCTAAGATCAGGGTATCATCAATTGAGGGTTAGAGCAGAGGATATCCCTAAAACTGCTTTTAGGACTAGATATGGGCACTATGAGTTCCTAGTGATGCCGTTTGGGTTAACAAATGCCCCAGCTGTCTTCATGGATTATATGAATCGAATCTTCAGGCCTTATCTCGATGAATTTGTTGTAGTCTTTATTGATGACATACTTATTTATTCTCGAGATGAGGTGGACCATGCTAGACATCTTAAAATTGTTTTGGAGATATTAAGAGAGCACAAGCTCTATGCCAAGTTGAGCAAATGTGATTTTTGGCTTAAAGAAGTTAAATTCTTAGGCCATGTGTTTTCAGAAGAAGGGGTAGCGGTGGACCCTAGTAAGATAGATAGATGCAGTGATGAAATGGGAGCAACCTCGAAGTGTGACAGAGATTAGGAGTTTCTTGGGTCTTGCAGGCTACTATCGTCGTTTCATTAAGGGTTTTTCACAAATTGCAATGCCCTTGACTAAGTTGACCAGGAAAGATGCTCCATTTATTTGGACGAACGAGTGTGAAATTGCATTCCAGGAGCTGAAAAAGAGGTTGACCACCACACCGGTGCTCACCTTACCTGTTCCAACTGCTCCTTATACCTTGTATACTGATGCTTCTAAGAAAGGTTTAGGTTGTGTATTGATGCAGGAGGATCGAGTAGTGGCTTATGCCTCTCGACAGTTGAGACCTCATGAGGAAAATTACCCTACTCATGACTTGGAGCTTGCTGCTGTGGTATTTGCCTTGAAGATTTGGAGGCACTATCTTTATGGTTCTTCTTTTGAAGTCTTCAGTGATCATAAAAGTTTAAAATATTTGTTTGATCAAAAGGAGCTCAACATGAGACAGCGCAGATGGATTGAGTTTTTGAAGGATTATGACTTTGAGTTGAAGTATCATCCAGGGAAAGCTAACGTAGTCGCCGACGCTCTGAGCAGGAAGCTTGTACATACTGCTCACATGATGGTCAGAGAACATGAATTATGGAGTAGTTTTCATGCAGTAAATGTAGAAGTAGTCGAAAATCGTTTGGCTGCTCTACATATTACTGAATTTGAGAATAATTTTTGGGAAGAAATCAGAATTCGCAGCAGAAGGACGATTATTTGAATAAGATTAGGGTAGAGATTGGGGCTGGAAAGCTGAACTGAATTTTGATGTGACCGATGATGATGTCGTAAGATATAAAGGTAGAGTGTGTGTGCCTAATGATACTCGATTGAAAAATATCTTACTTGAGGAGGCTCATCAGAGTAAATATACCATTCACCCAGGAGCAACTAAGATGTATCATGACTTAAGACGTGGTTGGTGGTGGCCAAGGATGAAGAGAGATGTAACTGAACATGTAACTCGTTGTTTGACTTGTCAGAAAGTCAAAATTGAGCATCAGAAACCAGCCGGGATGCTACAGTCTCTTGATATTCCAGAGTGGAAATGGGACAGCATTTCTATGGACTTCATTACAGGATTGCCTAGAACATCTTCTGGTCATGACACTATATGGGTAATCGTAGATCGACTCACCAAATCAGCTCATTTTCTTGCTACTAATATCAAGTATCTCTCGAAAAATTAACTGAAATCTACATAAGAGAAGTGGTGAGATTGCATGGAGTGCCGACAAATATTGTATCTGATCGTGATCCGAGATTCACATCAAACTTTTGGAAGTCATTACAGGAAGCCATGGGTACTCGTCTGAGTTTTTAGCACAGCACCACCCCCAGACCCCCAGACGATGGGCAAAGGAACGAACCATACAAACTTTTGAAGACATGTTAAGAGCGTGTGCCATTGAGCTTAGAGGTAATTGGGATAGTCACTTACCATTAGCTGAATTTGCCTACAATAATAGTTTTCATTCTAGCATTCAGATGGCACCTTATGAGGCATTGTATGGAAGAAAATGTAGATCGCCACTGTGTTGGACAGAATTAAGTGAGAGAACTGTTTTGGGCCAGACATTGTTGATGAGACTACCAAAAGATTGCTTTAATCAAGCAAAAATTACTCACAGCTCAAAGTAGACAAAAGAGTTATGCGGATAAGAGGAGAAGACCGCTTGAGTTTGAAGTAGGTGACCATGTATTTTTAAAAATCTCTCCGGTAACTGGTGTTGGTGTTGGAAGAGCTATTAGGCTAAGAAGTTGACACCAAGGTTTATGGGCCTTTTGAGATCTTAAAACGAGTTGGACCAGTAGCGTGCGTACCAAGTAGCATTACCACCCCAAATTGCTGGAATACAAACGTATTCCATGTGTCACAACTGAAAAAAGTATCAACCAGATC